TATTCCTAAGCAATTAAAAATATTTGCCAGAAATTGTATTTTCATTTTTAGTATATAAAGGCTGAAACATATTATTTCAAATACATTGCTAACCAAACATAAGACGAGTTCATTGCTGGCTGGTGGGAGCAATCAATGTCCGTGACGAATGAACGATTTAACGATTATGGCGATAGAGTGATTTATCGGCGGGCAAATCAACTGAAGCAATACAAAACACACGCCCACACCCCAGTTAATCTGCTTCGTGTTTGAGAAAGGCAAAGTCTTAAAGCGTTGAGGAGCAGGATTTGCGTGCGTTTTATTGAGCACTAGATTGCACTCACTTATGGGAGCGATTAAAATCGATTCAATCCATTCACAGCATAAATCAACTAACCAAAATCTTCTGCTGGCGAAGGTCAACACAACACCAGCCCCAAACTCCGCCCAAACGGTTCAACGAGGAAATATAAATGTCTGCTAGAGCGTATTTATCTACTAGTAGTAGTCTTTGGTTGACAGCACTTGGCGGTATTGTCATAAAGGGAAATTGTCATTCATCATCTGCCCTTACAATAATGGTGCAAAAAATACTATTTCCCAACTCCCATTCTGATAGGGCGATGAAAAGCCTTTTAAATGCAAATGCTGTATTTGTATTGCGGAAAAAGATACCAAAAGAGCCCGTTTTATTTATGTTCCCTATTGTTGAACTTACTTAAAATTGTTGCGACCATGTAAACCACAAAGAGCAAACACAGATCTATCCATAGCAGATATGAAACCAGAAAAAAAACAAATTGCTTACAGCCATACAAATATTTGTAACGATAACTTAAAATTGTTGCAATTCGTTCTTGTGGTTACTTGTGAAGTATAATTTTTGAATTGAGAATTTTCCAATCAGCACAGAAAGTAATAATACTGGTATCTGTTAAATTTACATATTTAAGTATATTGATATTGATTATGACCGTACGGAGTGGAAAATTTCTCTGCTTGTTGCATGCCATTCAGCTTCACTCGGATTTTCAACTGCAGCTCCATCTGAGTTTCATTCTCGAAGCGTTTACCCATAAATATTCATGGGGCCTAATCGGTTTATGACTGTCATAATCGCCTGCACTTTGCACGTCTTTCGGTCATGAAGTTGAATTAGCTTTTCCCCACTATTTTTCCACATTTCTATTTTTTTTGTATTCTCTGTACTCTCTGCTGACATATGTCCAATAAGGAATATAGGTTAATCTAAATGATGCAGTAGGAAAACCTAATGATAAATAATTCAATGTTTACATTTCCAAACGGAAATAAAATCATATAATTCGTTTAATATCCAGTAACTTATAGGTTGACTCTATGCTTCAGAAATTTATATATTAAGTTGTTTAGTCTGTAAGTAAAAAAATATATATATTTTTTTTAAATAAGGCAACAAAATGGTTTGGAAATGGACAAATATACTAATTTTTTATGTACGTATAGGTTGAAGATAATCATTTTAAATACAAATTTACTTGGTAAAATCCTAAAGGTCTCCTACCATTTCCACCTTATTTAAGAACTCTAAAGAACACTAACTCTTTGGGATATATCGAATCCCGTTTGGAAATAAAAATTGAAATCGGGCTACATATGGCTCCAGCGAAATGTCAGCCAACAAAAAATGCGTATATTTACGCGACATATTTACGGCGTTTTAAATGAAAGCACGTGTTTAGCAAGGCAAACGACGGCGCTGATGCCTCAAATATCGCACCTAGCTCGCGCCACAAAAAGCCGTCCGGGGCACAAGCAAAAGTGGCAAGAGCATCAGCATCAGCCGGGCCAGGCAACCTGAAACGAGACCATAAAATGGCGAACGTTGGCAATAAAAACTAGAACAACTGCCAGTGGGCCAAAAGCATGGGTGGGAGGCAATGGGGCAGGCTATGGGGGAGGGTCTAAGCGCTGGCAGGTGGAGCGCATTACTTTGAAAGTACATTGAGCTTGAAAATGACTTTGTAAATGGCGCTCGACAAATATTTTATTACTAGGGAACAGCAACAATTTACTTTGTTTGCCCCTCTGCTGGCGCCCTTTTCTTTGCTTGAGTTTTGCCGCCACTTTTCGCCTCTTTCGCAGACTATTTACCTTGAAATTTCACTTTAATTTTAAATCAAACAATTATGAGCCTGAGCTGCGCTTACTTCAAGTTGTGCATACTTTTACGGTCGAAGAACTAAGTAATCAGAAACTAGTGCCTTGCTGGTTGTAGTTTTAATTACAAAATATAATATACAAAACTTTTAATTTTAGTGTACCTCTCAGAAAGGATTGATTGAAATATAAAACATTTAAATTTATCAAACAAAATTAAAAACATCGAACAACAAAAATCTATTGCTGCAAATCCAGCATAAACAGCATGCATAAAATAAAGGATATTAAATTTGGTTTATCCGAAACTTTATAATCGATTACAGCGAAAATCCCATTTAATTCATTCTTTATTGGCTACAATTTGTTGTTCATTTCAGCGCCTGCTGGGAAAATTTCATTAAAAATGATCAAGTTAATTTCACAAATTTGTGTGTGTTTCACTCCCTCCACGGGAGATGCCAGTCGAGGCCCAGTGGGCTGTGGACTGTGGACTGTGGACTATGAACTGCGGACTATGGGACTAAAGTCGAGGGGGAGAGTTATGGAATGTTGCCAAAATGGCAGCGGGTTAGACCTGCGGTTGCGGTTTTGCCCTGTTCTGGCCCGGACGAGTCGGAGCTCCGAGTCCGCACTGTACTGGGCCTCTCCGGTCCTGGTCTTTGAGTTATCCTTTTCGCGGTTACCTTTTGTCGCTTGCCATTGTTTTAGCCGGTCCATTGTTTTATATCCTGCGGACTGGGGCCCGAGGAAAGGGTTGCCAGCTCTGTTTGAGCCTGGCCATTGTTTTTGGGCAGCTAGTGCAGAAATTTTTCACTTGTTGGAGTGTTGACTTTGACGTGGTCAATGCTTGAGCGTCGTAACAGCTTCATTACCGCGCCCGTTCCCAGTTGATTACAATTCACAAAATTAACGCCCATGTTGAGATTACTCCTTAATGTCCCAGCCAAGGAGATACCACCACTACCAGCCCATCCCCGTCCGCGGACAGGACTCTCCTTTCTGAGAGTCATCCTTGGGCTGCCGCGCGTAGTTTGCATTAATTTCGCGTTAATTTTGCGCGATAATCGTATTTCTTCGCATAATAGTCTGAAACTGGGCGGTGGGTGGGGGCTTCCATATTGCTTTAATGGCGGCTAAAATGCTCCTAATGGCATCTATTTGAGATTTTATTTATGCACTCGAAAATCACACAGAAGTCTGGCTATTTCTCCTTATCCTTGCCTGACTGCAAATTGAATGTGAAAATTGGCGGATAAATTCCAGCAAGCATCTACTGAAAATAGCAGAGAATTTCGTTAGAAATTGAATTTTATAGGGTAAAAAAATCGAATATTTATTGATTGCAAGGTACATTTGTATTTATATATATTTATTGTTAACTTAACTTATAAATGATGAGCGATCTAGTGATACAGGATTAAAGCCTGCATAGTCAGTTTAAGTTTATCAGCAACCTGATAAATCTATTGGCATTTTCATCCTATGGTGACCAACTTTATTTCAGATATTGCAGCCGAATTGCGAGTACCGCTTTTTCATTGTAACCCCAAATCGCTTTTGTTTGATTCGCTGACCATGGCCGGCAAATTAAAAGTCGCTTGGATTGGCCCCAGCAAACAGTGGCGGGGTGGATTCCATCGGTCTTCTTTGGGCGACAAGGGGGGCTGAAGCGATGGGGAAATGAGCAATGGACCTTCAACAAAATTCTAATTATTCATTGTCGACGCGCCGCTCGCTGACAGCGAAAACAATGAGCGTACTCAACTGTGAAAACTGCAACAAAGCGCATTCCAAACCCAGACTAAAAAGGACAGGGATGGGGCAAAAAAAACGAGGGGAGTGACGCATTTACTGTCGCACTAAAAATAAAGCTTCGGGCCAAAGGATTTGCAAGCCATGAGAAACATTGTCAACATTTTTTACAATTTTCTAGTCGTTATTTACCATTGTTTCAGCTCAGACCATTGTAGAGCTGCAGCTACAGATACAGATACAGATACAGATATAGATGCAATCCTTAGCTACGGGTGGTTGTATCCATGACTGTTGGCTATGGCAGCAATTTGCAGCATTTAGACCAAGTCCATTTAACTTTAATGCACTCTCGCTCTCGCTCGCCATCGGAGTTATCGCAGCTTCCTTTATGGAAACGCCAGCAGACGAACTTTGATTTATGGGCAGCAATCAGAAATGCATTCAGCTTGGAGTGACCACTTATAGGAGTGGGTGATTTCACAAGGACAGCGAATCCTTTGCCTTGGGTTCTTCGCCTTCCCCGGTGCGCAATTACAACCAGTTGGCACTACGGCCAAAAATGTCTGCCCAACTATCTGACCCACGCCCAATTAATGAATGGTCGGCCAAGAGCCAAAATCCGCTTAGACGCAATGCGACACGTTCAACCAAAATAAAAAATGAAAACTCAACAACAAGGTGAAAAATGCTAACCTAAGATATACAAACTTTATTTTTTTTTCCTTTCAAGGTTAGTCCTTTCGAAATTGGCAACTGACCAAATGGGCAAAATAGAGCAGGATTTTCATTTCCTCTGTGTCTAGGTATACTCGAATAAATCAATGTTAATCCATTTGATCGATTTTATGCCGAATTTTTCCACGCTTTAGGTTCCGCACGACAACAAAATGCAAATTGCTGCAATTAATTTCAATTTAAAACGTAACACATCAGTGAGAAGGGAAGTTAATTTTGGCAAGCCAAAGCTTAAACATTTTACCATTTAATTTAGATCAAATTTAAAACGTCTTCTTTAAAATTACAATTTTTCAATTACATTTAAAAGCAAAAAACTAAATAAATCTTAGAGACTATAAATAGAGTTTTACCAAAGCAGGCATTGTTTGTCAGTAAAAAAAAAACCAATATAGACTTATAGGCTCGAGTAGGCGATGGGTTTGTATTTATAGAAAAATCAATGAAAAAACAACGAAATTCTGGATTAATTTTATGTGTAAGTACGGAATGAAATTTTTGCATTTTGGCGACTAGTAAATAATTGAAATCCCCACCCCGCCAAATGCCAGCCGCATAGTTTTGAATGTACCTCTGAGTAGCAGACGAGTGCACTCAAAATCCCAGTAGTTCAGGCATAGGATACCCATGGCCAAAGCAGTGGTGAACACAACGTCGCCGTTGGCTGGACGGCGCCTGCTCCGGGACGTGAACCGGCTGCTGGCCTCGGGTTACCGCACCACCGTGGACGACGACATGGCCAACCTGGACGTGCGCTTCGAGGGGCCACTGGGCACCGCCTACGAGGGCGGCGTGTGGACGGTAAATGTGGCCATGCCGCTGGAATACCCGCTGATGGCGCCACGCGTCCGCTTCTTCACCAAGATCCTGCACCCGAACATCGATTTCACCACGGGCCTGGTCTGCATGAATGTGTTCAAGCAGGCCTGGTCGGCCAGCTACGACTTGGTGAACATCTTCGACACCTTTCTGCCCCAGCTGCTGCGCCACCCGAATCCGCACGATCCCCTCAATCACCACGCCGCCGCCATCATGAAGCACTCGGAGAAGCTCTTCTGGGAGCACGTCGTCCTCTGCCTGAGGATGTACGCCCTGCCCGTGTTCCTCGCCCCCAGTGACCTCGTGGAGGAGGGCCTCGAGAAACGCTCCTCGGACCTCAGTCTTTCCGATCTGCTGTCGGACGAGGATGACGACGACGACGACAACGACAACGACGACGCAAACGACGCAGACGACGCAGCCTCAACGGCACCGCCTGCTGCTGGGGCAGATCAGGCCGGCGATTGAGTATTTGGATGGTATTTTGTTATGTTTTTGTAGGAGAACATTATGTATGCGAGCAAATATATCGAAATTGGAAGTGTAATTAGTTATAATAAATAGCATAACGTATTTTAACGATAGAGCTCTAAGAGTTTGGATATTTATTTGTTATGTCTAATAAATTGTTATATCCATCGAAATTGAAATTATGATACGAACTAAACTGAATACCCGTCTTACACCCTTGCAAGAGCTTTTGTTATAAATAAATAAAATACCAAAATTGCTTGCAACCATCTACTTACATTATTAATCTTAAAATCCTTAATTATATTTTTACTTAAATCTTAGCGGATTCGGATGATTTCATTATTTTTCTTGAGACCAATTTCTTCTTAAAGATAAGGCAATTTCTTATTATTATTTATAATTTATATATAAATTTGTCGCTGTTATTGAAATACGTAACCGCCATTAAGAATATTTTGGACTAACATAAATTGGCTCACTCAGTTAAAAAATAAAATAATACATATCTTAATTAATTTTAAGAATGTAATGAAATTAAAAAAGATTTTGCGTGTAAGATTTGCCTGACCAGAAATATTTGACATGAGCTCATTGAGCTGTTTATGTTCGAGTAATGTGACTTGACTAAACGTTTGTTTTGTTGTTAAGCAGAGCATTTTAAGGTAAGTGTTTTTACTCGATGATAACATGGTTCTATGACCTATGCATTCCAAAGTCAAAGATAAACAGATCAGGCTCTAGCTCGGAGCTAAATATTAAATTAAGTATCAAGGCTGGTTTCACAACCATTCTAAACTCATTACAATTACCAATTTTATTGCTTGTCCAATTTCCTGACGAGATGTTTGCCATTAAATTGCGGGCCTTAATTGTGTCAAGCAAGATGAAGCCATATTGCCGTAATGTTCCGATAAGAAATTAATTTTCATCCATTAAGGATAATTACGGATTCAATGGCCATAATTGAAGCTGATGTCAACTCCACTCGACACTTCCAGGGGGCCTCAAGCAGGTGACTTCTGATTAATTTACCTGATTAGTCTGAATCTGAGAATGATTTTCCGTCCTATCAGGCGGTCGAGTTCAAAAGTGGAAAACTATTCTGTTGAATAAGTGCAGTCATCTGCAAAGAACGATTTAATTCTGATAATTGTTAGAACAATGGTTTTTGATGGCCCAAGTGTTTTAATCTGGTTTACGACATTTGAAGGACTCGCAAACATAACAAAGGCGCTAAATGTTTGATAAATCGAATTTGATATAGCTTTGGAAATGCCGAAATCAAAAGCTCAGCATTAATTCTCTTATTGTTTGCATAAAAATGTAATTTAGATTTTACAAGGCTTTAAGATTTTAATTTTCGGTTTTAATTGGTTTTAAATGTCCCAAGAGGTTTAAACTGGCTTTGGCAAACAAATCAGGCCGCTAAATTTAACATAAGTCGAACGAGATATGATAATTGAAGAGACAAGCAAAAATTCACTATTTTTTTTTTCTAATCTTTTAAATTGAGCTTTAAACAGTTAAACAGTTTACTGTTAAAGACTTTAAGATTTCATCTTGTGCTTAAGTTGAATTTTAAATGGCATTCGTTTTATCTTTGTGTTGTAGATATAAATTTTGTGAAAAAAAAATGGAAAGGCGATAATTCAGAAAACTGACAAAATGAATTCGTCTGCATGTCCCCAAAATTGGTTCAATCCGATGAAGCTGGTTGGTGGTTGGTGAAGGGGGGGCACCTAAACGTGAATTTGGCTTTATTGACGCCTGCTGCTTGGCCTGGTCTAAATCTCTGGCTGACTGAATGGCTGGCCACCTTCCTTCCTTCCTGCCAATTGCAGAGACCATGGCCAATGTGAGTGCAGTGTTCCAGACAGTTGCGCAGACAATCCGAGCGAGGTTGAGGACGAGGTTTCAGGGGTTCTGGGCAGGTCGAATGCCTGCCCGTCTGCGTGTGCTGCCATCAAATTAGAATACGACGTGGCCCAGTCCCTCTGAGAACGAATTTATGCAATAGTCGTTGCCATTTTCGACATTGAATGACTTTATCTTCACATTTCCACAACGAAATGATGTCTTTAGTGAGACATTCGATTGAAACTGATGGGAGCAACTTGGGGAGATGAAGGAGTCGGAGTCGGAGTCGAATTGTTCCATCTCCTTATGGTCCATAACACGTGGTGTGCTTTGGGATACTGAAAACCCAACAGATTGCAGACAATGAGTGTAATTCTCCCCAAGAGTATTAAAATTAATGACAACAGACAGAGTTATGCTTGGCATAACAGAAGTGAATATTGAATTAAAAGCTGTACATATACTTTGTATACATTATTATTATTATGAACATTCATTTGAGATATCAATTCGAAGGAATTTAATAGTTTTTGAACAGAAATGTTTTCTCCTTTTGTGACTACGGTATCAGCTTTTAATCTGAATTTATATACTTGAAGCCAGTTTATCATAATGGACCCAACAAATTCGCTTCAGGCATTCAAGATTACTAATTTTTATTCCAAAGGTATTGTCGCGAGATTTGAAAAGCCAATGACAAATAATAAGCTTGCATTTATCTCAGTGTGAAAGTATTAATCAAACTTCTTTTTATTTATTTTAGAAATAATAATGCCTTTATATTTCCCTAGGGAAGACCTTGCTAGGTAAATGCCTTAATGAGTTTTATCTCAACCATTTAATCAAATCAATTTCTATGAAATATTTAAAGGCTGTGTCTCATAGAATTGTCTAGACATTTTTGTGCCAACGTGAGCCAGGTCCGACTTAAAAAGGAATTATTTTCGCCAGGCAGCGAAAGGACTTTTCAATGGCCAGATGGGTGGGTCAATGGACGGTTAAAGCCAACTGTCCCGGCATTGAGCATGCATCCGCTGGCGCTAATTTATTCAAGTCAATTGACTCGCAGCGAACCGAGCTCAGTTTTAGTTTGCTGAGCACGGTAATGTCAGGCGGCGGCGGAGGCGGAGGCAGAGGCTAGCCTCATTAACATATTCTAATTAATTTATATTATTCCAAAATGCACAAAACTTAATTGGTATGGAGCACTTAGTTAATGAAATTGAAGCTTCCACCAAGCCGGGAAGCTCTCCAGCTCCAGCCCTTTATACCGGTCTGGTATTCATGCAAAATTCTTAGCTGTTGAAAATTTGGCGAGTCACTCTGCTGGTGCTTGATGGAAAGTTTCAGCTGTACACGGCTGCCAACATTACATAACAATCCCTGAGTCTGCCCCCCCGCTCACAGACTCGCTCTCATTAAGGAGCATCTCCTTTCTCGAGAGTTCCCGAGTTGTTGGCAAACAAATTTCGGGCACCGTCTTCGCCGAGTTAGTTATGACTGCCAACTTTGCGACACACAATTTGCATTTGGGTTACCTCTCCTGGCCAAGGGGCTTCACTGTTTGCAAGTTATTTCTTTCTCCCTGTTTGACAACCAAAGGACATGTGTTCCAGTTCCTCGGAGGGGTTCTCCTACCACCGCTCAGCTAATTTATGCCAAGACAGCAGTGTGTTGATGCGAATACGATTGCCAGAGACACACCTTTGTGTGTGTCCCCGCATAAATGTCTTGTTAATTTCACAAAACCCAGCCAATCGCTCCCCACCCAGTGCGATTCGACATTCCACCCAAAACACCCAACCCTTGAAACTTATCCGGTGGCTTGGCTTGCCAGGTTGCCTCTCCCGGATCGACCATTGTTTGCCTACACAATTATCACCAACGCCATAAGCCCCAACTGCTGGCTGGGAATGTGCAATGTCAGGATTGGAGCCGTCTTTGGATATACAAGTACGCCAAACAATGCAGCCCCAATTACCAGGCTGCTCACAGCTTGTTTAGCTGGGAATGCTTTTGTTCGGCTCCTAGGTAGCTAGGCTCAAGAAACCTCATTTCAATTGCCAATTAAAAGGAGTGGAGGCGCTTAAATCTAGGTGGATTGTTTACCAACAGGCATCTGCGGTGGATAACCTCAAGTTTTTCCCTAAGCTGCTGACTCTGTGAAGTCTCTCAATTTGGGGCTTCACTACAAAAGGATAAGGATGCTTAAATGTGCACAAAGTAAACTATTACTGTAAGTCTACTTGAGGATTTTTCATTTTCCTTAAGACAGTGCGCGGCGAAGAAAAATATTTGTATAATATCGAATAATTGATAAAAAAAAACTGGATATCCCAGCAATTTGTACAAAATCGTAAGACTCTGCTAAATTGACTGCAAAAAAGTCATCAATCTAAGTTAAAGATAAGACTAAACGGATGTTAGACAACCCCGAGCAGCCCTGAAAATCTCATTCAACCTTGAACTGGAAGGCGAATGATAAAGCAAGGCACTGAATGCCACTCAGGTCTGCCCCATTCAAATTGCTGGACATTAAACGGATGTCGATAAATGAGATTGACAATGACAAACATGAAAGCGAAAAAGTAGCCAGAACAGAGAGCGAATTCCCCACCCCATGGAGTCAATAAAATCCCAGAAAAGCCAAATCCCGCCCCTGAGGTCACTCACAAAAACTAAAAGGGAAATGCTTTAACCAAAGCGAGGAGATCTGAGTGACAGTTGAACCTCTGCACCCGGTCCCTTTCATCCCCTCTCCATGGGCTCGTCTCCGGGCTAACAGATGGCAGAACATATACGGTCACAGAGCCACATATGTCAACCGGAGTCAGTCCGGATGATTGCAGGACCAGTGTTGGTACACTCACAAAAGTTAACTCTCGCTTTCTCTTTAATACTTTCCGGTGGCAAAAAAAAAATGTTTTAAATATAATGTTGTTTTTGGTCTTCAAACATTGTCTTCCCGCAAAGAATACCGCATGAAACAATTAACTTTTGTGCTTTATAAATAGAAATTTTGATTTTCGGTTAGCCATTTTAATTATTAATAACACAAGAGCATCAAAACTAAATTTCTAAAATAATAGGAGAAGGAATTAAAATTCCACACATTGTGAAAATAATGGTATTTTATAAAATAACATAATTGCTTTTATAATCCCTTTAATTTATGGCCGATTTAAATCAAATTTTAAATGTTAAATTCTGACTAAACTTGGTTTCCTTCAAACTTAAAAGAATTGAATAATTGTTAAATTGCTAAACAAAAATCTTTTGAGGCACACATAAATGTGTGTAAAGCTTTTGGTGGGTTTGATTTGATCATTGTTTCCCATGAGAAATTACAGCACAATTTCCCCTTTCCTATTTTTCTTATTTTTCATAAATATGTACAACATTTACGTTACCTTGCGTTTATGGTATATATCATATTCAGTATACATATGTTTTCCTTTTTTAGAAAAAAAGGTTTGCCATGTCAGCTATTTTTTCAATGTGCATAAAGGGGTTAGGCAAAACACAGAGATGGCCAACTGAAATGTGCAAGTGTCAAGTGCAAGCCCAAGGAATGAAAAGAAAAACAAATCAAAACCAATGGCAGGGTTGGCATTTGTTTAAATGCGAATTAAAGAATCGCCGCTTCAAGGGTGGGAGAATGTGAGCTTTGTAATTCGGGCGCAGCCGCACACTCCACACATTTCATATGGGAGATTGCTTATTTGGCTGTTGGCCACTTGGCCACTTGGCCACTTGGCGAAAGTGGCAAGTGCAAACAGGAGCTCTGGCTCCGGGTCCGCTCCCGGGATCCGAGCGCCACTTGCTGCTCGTGCTGCATGTGCCATTTGCATAAATCAAATTTGAATTTGCATTGCTGCCTGCAACGAGCAGATGCAGTGGGTGAGAAAGAGCAACAGCAGCCGTCGCAAGACTCAAAGCGTTCCGGCACACACACACACACGCACACACAAAGGTGTGCCAACTGGATAAACACGTGCACGGGGCAGGACGAGCGCGGAAAGGCAGGATTCTCTACTTTGCCAGTTTGTGTGCTCAAACACGCACAGGGCAATGAGCACGCAGCCAAACTTACGCACGCTCACCCACCACACAATCGCAAAAACAAACGCACATGCAAATACAAACAGCGGCAAGAAGCACCAAAAACTCACTCCCCACGAATTACGCCCAAACGATGTGCCATTAAAAGGTAAAAGCCAGTCAAAAACTCTGCAGACAAGGACCTCGAGTTGAAAATTTATAGCATAGTTTTAGGGGCTCGTTAGAACTTCATATTTTGCATTCTCGCGACTGTTTTTTTCAAGAGTCGAAATGTATAAAGATTTATTCATTTATTTCACATAATCGACTAAAAGCAACACATTTTTTAACACTTAAGCCTCTGCAAGGGGATTTTTGGCTTCAGGCGTTTCATTAAAACCAATCCCAATAAAAACTTATAAATAATTACACATAAATTTACTAATACTGATTTATGATTGTCCATTAACACTCTAATTTAAAGTTTTGGACAAATGGCTTCACATGCTATCTATCACATATATTACTCATATGTCATAAATTGAAGACATAAATATTTATATTGAATATTAATTAAAAATATATGTTTTCTCATTAGCTATACGGCTGTCATTCTTGTCCTGAAAATGATTAAAAACATGTCATAAACTTCAGTTGTCGATACCCAAAACTATATCTCAAAATTATGTTATAGTCTGTAAAGTTAATGCTTCTGACACTTTGGTTGGTGGCTGCCGTCGTTTTCGGGCACATATTTCCTTTGATTTCTTGGCAATTTCTTGCACATTAGCTCAACAACTTTCTTTGCCAAGTTACGGTGTACACACACACACACACAAACACATGCAAACTCGTGCCCACAAGCATGGAATGTGCATTAACATTCTGCCACGCCCATTCCACTTTGTGGCAACTTTTTGCCGTGTCCAAATTAAATAATAAATGCGCAAAGTTGGGCAAATTTATAATGCTGAGGCGAAATTGTTGAGTGACTTTTGAGTACATTTTTGCTGTCTGCGATAATTGCTAGTTAATTGGATTCCCCAGACAATTGCTGATTTATGAAAGCAAGAAATTCCAAAGACTTATTAGGTAATCGAATTATTACTATGGGGATTTCAGCAGGGATAATTTTAGAAAAAAACTAAGTCCTTGTTGTGTGCCAACCTTTTTGTTAGAAGCTTAGTCATATTTTATCCCGCTATTGAAGTATCGACTCGAAAACCTTCCAATTTATTAAAGGAGATAAATTGTCACGGCGAGTGAAAAATACCAAGAATTCAGCTATTTTTTATGGTGTCACAAAAACCGCTTGGAGGCCATTCAATGGCAGTGTCAATGTCGCTCCAATGGATGAGGAGCCAGGATAATGCCCTTCAATCAAGTTTGTGGCCCTGTTGGGTGACGTGACTGTTGCTCATTTCACGCTTGGCCTTTCCATTGTCCTGCTGCCAGGAGTTTGCCAGTCCGCCGGCTGATTACCAACGAGTTCGCAGGAAGTCCCGATAAGAAAGCAGGTCCATAAACGCCAGGCCTCGTGTTAGACCTGAAATTCGGGGAAAAAAAAACGACGACAACGGTTAGAGGAGTGGGGTCTACAAATCACTCCGAATTTCTATATCACCCGCCTGGTTGCTGCGGTGTCTTTCGTTTCTGGTTCGTCTTGGCACTGTCATCGTTCGAGGAAAATTCTAAAAAAAGAATAAAGCAATCCTCTCAGAATATGTGGGCTTAAAAGCATTAAAATTAAACTTAAATGAGACTGCATAGTATAGCTGTTTAAAAACAAACAGTGTAACATTAGAGACTAAAAAGAAATGCTGTGCCTATTAATATGCGAGTTGAACAATTAAATCAATAAAATCATACCTGTTAAATCTTAAAATAAACCTTAAAGCTGTTATTTCAAGAGACGCTATTTTCTATTTTTTTTTTCTACCAAGTGTAATAGTTATGTGTTTTTTTGTAAACACACTTTAGTGTGTTGGCCATACTTGTAAAATTCCTGTTACTTGTTTCCATGTCAAAGGCGACATCTAGAAGTTTTAAAAGTGAAATTAGTTTGTATAACGTATATATTAGTTGAAACACACATACACGTAGGCCTCTGGTTGTTTTCTTCTGTCTTTTCTTTCAGATTTCCATCTGTGTTTTGATTTACTAATAAATCATCAGTTGGATCAGTCCTTAGAGGTTTTGACGATCCGGGTTCATCTGTGCCATTCGGCTTGTGATCTTCATCCTTACTATCGAAAAAGAAATTTGACAGGATTCCCCCACCAGCAGGACCACCACCTTCCTTTCGAGCGTCCTTGCTACCACCAGGGCCACTACCTCCACCATCGTCCTGTTGGGTATCCTTGCCAGTCATAAAGGGCTCCATTATCTCCAGCGGAATGGGGTAAATGATCCTGACTCGTCGCTCCGAGGCGATCGATGAAAGGACTTGCAAGTGTCTCAGCTAAGTCATCAGGAAATGGTTTAACTATACAGAATATACATCCATATCTTTTACCTGTAGTGTGATTCTATTTTCTGACATCACATCGGAGGCCTCTTTTAGTGCCTTTGAGGCCTTGAGCTCGCCTTCGGCCAAAATAATCTTGGCCCGTGCTTCCCTCACAGCCTCAGCCTCGCTGGCCAAGGATCGCTCCAGGCTGGACGGCAATATGATGTCCATTCTAATGTTATAAATTAATAGGTCGGCTCAAATCAAATAGATTAAAATGAAAAGTGGTTGGATTTGTTAAGTAATGTGTCGAAACAAGTCCCTACACTGAGGTTCTTATTTGCATGCCTTTTAATCAACAGTGATATTTGTGGAAGTTGTGTTAAAAAAATTTAATTCTTTTAAAAAGTATGCCAAATTGGTAGTTATTATAAAATATAAATGGTTAAGGGCAGTAGGGTTTTATCATTTTTTTTGACTGTTTTTGTTTTAAAAAAATTTTTAATATTTAAAGATGTATGTGTCTATATTTCAAATAAAAATTGACGAATTGTATTACTTACACGTCTACCCGTTCCACCCGCACTCCCCACCGAGCTGTTATTCCGGCCACCGCCTGCTGGATTTCGCGGGACAATTGCTGCCTGGAGGTGAGCAGGACATGGAGCGACTTGGAGCCCACGATATTGCGCAGGGTGACCTGGGCAATCAGGTTTGTGGCCTGCCGCGCATCGTCCACCTGGATGATCGAGTCGATGGGGCTGAAGATGCAAAAATACACGACTGCGTTCACGGTAATGGTCACCGAGTCCTTTGTGAGCACATCCTGGGGACGTACGTTGGTGACGTCGGTGCGAAGATCCACCCTGGTGATGTCATCGATGCACGGCAAATAAAAGACCAAACCAGGTCCTCGAAGACCCCTCCTGCGGAGGGTGGGACTTAAATATAGTCATCAGCAAATATATGGGTCTCACCTTAGTCGACCCAGACGAAGGACAATTACACGAGCAAACTCGGGAACCACAAGAAGACAACAACACAAGGAGAAGGGAAATGTTATCGCCACAAGGATCCAGCAGATGGCAACGGCGCACTTCTCAAACGTGGTATCCTTATCGTCCTCAGCTGAATAAAAATTGATTGCTGATCAGATTGGACTCTAGACAGATCATTCGGGTTTGCCTACTGGTTTGAATGTAACGACTTGGTGGCGGCTGGCGACCTGCTCCATCTTCAGCTGAAGGTCGTTTAAAATTTTTGGGGTCACTGGGAGGTTCCTTTGTAGGCTCTTTCTGGGAAGATACATCTCGTCCAGGTCCCTTAGCCCGATTTCCCTCGTTGTGATCGCTCATAACGCAAAATTTAAAATTATTTATTAGTAAAAATAATGTTTACGACTCGTGTGTATGATGTTTTATTCAAAGTTAACAAAAGTACAAATAACATATGACCCCTGAAGACAAACTGGTAGACTGTAACATACTTTATCATTTATTTTTCGCGAGTGGAATTTTGGTTACTATGGATGGGGACGTTGAATTGCACATATTCCGCAAGAGCTCATAAATTTCGCTTTTCCAACTAGAAAAGCTCAACTGCAACCCACTCACTGTCAGCCCACAAAACCCCAAAAGTGCACATTACTCTGCTTATGAGCAAGCCACTTTTTTCAAGAGAACACGTCGGTGACAGCAGGGGAAAGGGCCAGAATATGAGATGAGGCATCGGAAGGTGATGGATATATATGTAAATTCAACCAGTCCAAAAATTCACTAACAGTTTCAATTCCAAAGAAAATGATGGATGCTGCTTAAATAACAAATGAAATTTGTACTTTTAAGTTATTCTTCTATAAACCAAGTCCCTTTTTATGTTTGAATTTTAATTTCATTTACACTTTTTAGAAGGTTTGGGCAACAAATGGAGAACTGGACTAAGCACCTTTTAAACAAAATTCAATATCTTCCGATTTACTGACTCGCCTTAAGTTCTTTTAAATTTAATCCTACATAGCTACACTTTATTTCACACAAGTCACAAATTATATAATTATTTAAAACTAAAAACACAAAGTTTTTAAAAGAAAATGTACAATTTTTAAAGACTTCATTTAAAACCATATATTATCTTGGTTAAAATGGAAACATAATTAATAGAAATAGTTTATATATAATATGCCTAAAAGTTCGAAACGCACTGTACCGTAGGCCAGGCGCACCTCGGCAGAAGTGTCAAAATCTGACATGGAAAAATGAACCCAACACGAAGAGCTCCTAATTTTAGTTACAAAAGCCGGTTGGCGGGCTTCTTGGCAGTCAGCGCCCTTTGAGCGGAGTCGCGGAAAAGTGTGGGAAGTTGGAAAAGTGGCCGGAAGGAGAGGAAGGCTGGCTGGCTGACTGGCTGACTGGCGAGTAGCTTTCCGATGATAATACCTGGCGGCTTGAACGTGACGATGACTGGCACGATAGCATTGAAATATTACCTGAGCCAAGACTCCGCCGATTGCCGCTAAAAGATTCCCGGATGGCGTTGCTTGTCATTCCGGCACCCATCGTGGGCAATTATAATTAGATGTGACTGACGGTGGGAGCTCAATTAAAAGGCACGTGGCTGGGCGAACACCGAAATTGGGTTAAAACGTGCAGTGGCAAATACTCGGGTGCTCGGGTGCTGCGCTCAAAAACCGCTCGAAATTGTTTCTATTTCAATTTGCCAGCATGGTTTTTGGGGTGCGGAAGCGTGACATTTTGGCCGTACCGATATTTATGCCACCCCGGCTAAAATCCCCACATTTACACAACTTTCGGTTGTCGCCCAAGGGCCAAGGGGCAAAGGGGCCAAGGGGGCCGGGCGGCGTGGTGGCAAAGTTTTCGTTCGTTTTCATTTTCATGCCAAATTTCGACACACACATCCGCGTCTGCGGTCAACTCCGGATCCGCCGGGCCGGAAGCCTTCGGCAATGCGACGATAGGAAATTGGTTTATTTTATTTCCATCGACAGTTCGCTGCGGCCTTCAGCGGGGTGTGGTTGTGGTTGGTGGGTGCCTGGCGGTGGGCGGTCGTTTTTTGGGGGAATTTCCAAATTAACATGAAAAGCGATTTAACGATATCGTTCTGAAAAATCTAATTAAGAAAAAAAACAATTTCCGATTATATTGCGCATTTTTTTGGACGAATACCGAAATAATTATAGCACCATTAGTTGGATGCTTGACGTTCCTTTTTTTTTTTTTTTGAGTTAGCTGCAAGCGCTTAAAGCCAGCCAATTGACTGGTTCAGCCCGGTTTTTGGTGGCCAGCCGGCAGGCAGGAAAGCCACTCCACCAGTGCCCTCACTTTGGCCACGTACGTACTAATGAAAACGAGCTCCAAATGAAGTTGGAGTCAACTGCAACGGTTGATGGCAATAGGGAAACTAGGCCAAAATAAGTAGATGGGCAGAATATGGTGTGGTTTACTAGTAACACCAATGCTCCAATACGCTTTGCTATCAGTATTCCTAAAGTGAGGTAAACTAAAATGATCAACTCTGAAGTTAATTATATTTTAATACACATAAGGTTTGCTTAAAATGTTAAAATCAAGAAAAGATTAAATAAGAAAAATAAACCAATTTTATTAAACGGTTGTTGTTTAAAAAATAATTAAAATACATATTAAATAACTTCAACTTAACTGACCGTTAGTTTAACATGTAAAATGTAAAATTCTTTCGTAAGGATATTCAGAAAAATATCTATTATATTGTTAATTTAAGTAGCAAACAAAATACATGTCTTAAGAACATTTAATTAAATTCATAACATTTCAAGACCAAATCAGTCTACGATTTCTGTATTAAAGCCCAGGTTTTTATCGGCATATTAATTCAACCTTTAGAGCCAGAGTATTAGAGGGTCTTTGACCTCATATTCAGCGTGCATCCGCCTCTTTTTCCAACTTTTCCAGCCAGACATATGCAGCTGAAAATGCATTTGCAGTGTGAGACCGCAGAAACATCGAAAAACAGAAACGAAAAAGAGCCAAATGAAGCGCCCAGAAGCCCAAGAATGAATGAAGTGGAAGACATGAATGGGAATGGGCGTAACAGGATCACAGGACGAGTATGGCGAACAAAAAATGTAGGCGGCAAAAAATGCAGGCTAAATGTGCTCGTTAGTGGTTTTCTGGATGAGTTTTCCCTGTCGATGGTCTGTGAGTCTGTCAGTCGACCCTTTTTTGTGAATATACCAGATTCGTATCCGTATCGCATAAATTCCGTATGCAGCGGCTTCGTTTGGCCAATTCATTTGGCCTGCTCCGGAATTCGTTGGCGAATGTTTGACTTTAGGCAAAGTCAACACGCAATTTAAATAACAATTGGTCTTTCTTGTGCGGGTGTTTTGTGAGCCTGCTTGTGGATGAGTGTCATTAGCAAGACATTTATACGCCTCAGTTGAGCACCCAACACATGTTTATGCATATCAGCAACCTTTTGCCGAGAATAAATTAAGTCAAGGTCGGGATTTTGCTGACAAGGCAAAACATTTTACGGAACATGTGTGACTCAATGTTCGGCGTAAGCTGTCTAAGAATTTAGGACTTAGGCAGCTTGGGAAGCTTTACTAACCGAGTAGGATGGATAGGCGATCGAAGTAGCAGAAAATCCCGAAATTCAAACTAAAAGGGAGCCACATTTTTATGACTGTTCAGTTATAACGAACTAAATAAAGCGTAAGCATTCTTAATTTTCATATTTCAAACAAAGGCAATAAATAATATTGTTTTATAAATATAAGTGTATTGCTTATCGAAATATTTTCCATTTGGAGCAATTGAGTTTTGCATACGTTTGAATGAATTAAAACCACTTTATAGATAAATGAAATGATTCACCCTTTTTCCTACTTTCACTATTAAACAAAAATGTAATTAAAAAGTACTTTAACAAATTTAATATAAAACTTGTTGACTTTATCGACAAATGTGCTTGCAGAGTTTAATCTAAGCTTTGCACAAAACTCACATCCTTTACCGATTGAAAGCAGCCGTGTGTTGAGTGAATGCATTTACACACACATACAGATGAGCTTGTTGGAATTATTTGACCCGGCCACACCGACTTACTGGTCACCTGACCATCTTTATCCTCTGCCGGCGGCAATGCTTCCTTCTATCGTTCTTATCCTCTTCACATTCCCCCTTTTATCTAAGCTCGGCTTTGGCATTGTTAATGCCAACACATTTTTACCCACTTGGCAAATTTACGTATTTCTGGGAGCACCCCGCACCGCTGATGTCGCGGCATTTGTACTTTCCTGCACTTTAGTGAGCACACAAATCCGCACGAGAAACGGAAAAAAAAGGGATTTTATCTTTTAGTCGCTTGTTGCTTTTGGCTCCTTGGAATCGCTATGCGGACATTTCCGGCTGGAGGCATGCGTATGTATGTCCTGACATGGACTTATCGCCGGTGCAGATTTATGCCGGAGCCAACAATGCTGCTGCTGATTGTGGGAATTAACAGCTCCGGTCCTATGCTACATTAATTTATGGCCTAAACAGCGAACCGAAACAGTTTTTCATGATTGAATTTATTCGAAACTTTCGGTGGCCTCAAGTGCCATTGCGGCCATTGAGTATCGTATAGCGTTACCCACACGACCAGAAATTCCTTTTGCTGCATACACCAACCACATCTTCCAAACACCACAGTTGCCAAGTCATCTGTGCTGATTTCCATGGCGAATTTTAGCACTCGCACCATTCATTGCCATCGCCGAACAATGGATCCGAAAAAGAAACCGAAAGTGGGCAAAAAGTGTCGGCATTGAGACAAATTTAATGAAATTTCAAATTGCCATTCGCCTTCTGTCTAGATCTCAGGAAGCTTTTGTCTCCTCTTCGATTTAAGAGGTCATTCTGGGTTTCCTTTTGAAAATAGCAATTTATATCTTAAATCTATAAAAATCTTTCGCTTTATAAGAACTTTAGATTAATATATGAAATAGTTTTTTGATGCAATACCAAGGAGATTTTAAAGAGAATTTATTTTCTTTTCAAACTGTTTTCTGTTCCTCGAAGTCAGTGCATCGGTCTTAGGGAAATTATAAATATTTATAAATAAATTTGGGAATAAAATATCCTTACGAATAAGCTTATTTCAGAGAAAATGTATGAAAAACTTGTTCCTCAGCCAAATCGGATTCGGTGGCTGTGAATATCGGAATGGTTCTCCACCTCTGCCGTTGGCTTTGCATGTCGGACACGACTGACTCAAGTCGACTCGTTCATGGTCTCCTTTGTGCCGCTGTGACAGCTGCTCATTTCACGCTCGGTAATTTCAATGAATTTTGCTGGGATCTTGCAGGACATGCCACGCCAACCAGCGCCACGGCACGCTATCCACTTATTTGTATGGCGCTCATTAATTAAATTTTCTCATTTATATTGGTTATATTTAGTTTGAATAGTTTTCCTAGGTTCACATGAAGCTCGTTTATTTCGCACCATTCTGTGAAATTGGTAAAGAACTTGGCTTTACTTTTCTATTTTTACTTAGAATTCATTTACGCAGCATCATGTACAAAAAGTCAGCCTTAATTTAGCTTAATGTAACTAACAATGACTTTATATATGTTTTTTGTTTTTTTCGCAGCACTAGAAACACAAAAAAATGTGGAACAAGCGCACTGGTTATTGGATAATCTTTTTAAAACATTTCTGGTTCGATTATGGTAGTCAAATAAGGCATTTTTCGGAGTTATGACTAATTAACTTATTTTTTAATGCATTACTTTTATTACATTACATTACATTTACATTAAAAATAAATAAAAGTAATGCTAATGAAAAATCTGTTCATTAGATTGTCCAAAAAGGAATGCTACTGAGAAAATAGTTTATTAAATTTAAAAAAATTAATGCTACTGAAAAAATATTTGATAAGATTTCTCAAAAGTAATGCTACTTAAGCCACTTATCATTAAATGTCAAGAAAGTTATCCTGCTAAAAAAATATTTCATTGGCTTTCTAAAAAGTAATGCCATCAATAAAACTAAAAGTTATGGTACTGAACTTACTATGTTAACGGTTGAGTTAACAATTACTTATTAATTCATAACTGTTTAATAACATTTTTATCCTGAAAAAATAAATTAAGATTAATCAGCTAAAATTTGCTCAACCAGGGATTGTAACTTGTACGCTTATTTTGAAAAGTCGTTCCAAGCAATGACAAATAATGTGTTTACCAATTAAAACAGTTTAGATAAATTCGGCTTTATTATTCAAATCAGTATAAGGTAAAAAGGGGACAGCACTACAAATTTAGCAACAAACAATTTGGCAACATTGAAATGGTCTTGTCCTAATCTTGGTCACTGCTGCAGTCCTATCTGAGCATATCGGCGTACCGAACGGGCAGATAGGCGAAGAAGCTGTTGAGCAGGGACGAACCGTTGACCAGGTGGGGCTGCAGGGCCTGCCAGCAGATGCTGGTCAGGTTGAGGATCTTGTCGTTGAGCGGCATGCGGTAGTTGGCCTTCAGTCGCTCGCTCAGCGCCTTCAACCGAACGATGTCGTCGTAGGTGTCTTTCGCCGAGTATCCGGTGCGCTTGGCACTGGGTGGTTCATTGCTCAGCTTGTGCAACACACGCACAAAGGTTTTCATACCCTTTCGCATCCCTTGGCCGATCTCCTCGTAGCTGTATGTTTTCCCATACCGACGCTTTATCCACTCTTTCATCACCGTCGACTTGTGCGAGTCGGGAAAAGCGGCAAAGACGCAGCGCGGATCCCGACGCAGTATGGAAAAGCCATCCTTAAGCAGGCGCTCCATCAACTGATGGTTGTCGGGGTCAAAGTGCGCGATGTCCTTGGTCCAGTCCAGGTCGTCCTGACCCTGACCGCAAGGCTCGAGTGGTGGGTCAGACTTTTTGGATTCGAAAGAAGCCTTATTCCGCTGATGGGCTTCCAGCGAGCCAAACCACATGTTCTGGGCGCACTCCACGATGGCAGCCACCACCTGTGCGCGCGGATCCAGCCTTTCGTTGAACTCATCCTCGCTGGAGGGACAACTCTGTGGCCGCAAGGAGCGAATGGCCTCGGCTCGCATCACGTCCCTGGGAGCGGGATTCTCTTGCCGCGGTGCCAGCTCGTGGTAGTGGAACACGAACGGACCCCGCCGACTGTGACTCCGAAAGAAGCGTCCCGGCCTCTGGGGCTTCCGGCAGAAGGTTGGCCTCTCATCGCCGACCCTCGTCTGTGTCATCATCACCCGCCGGGGGCGCTTCATATGGCCGAGCAGCGGAGGCGGGCACTTGGCCAGCTTCTCCTCGCGCACCTCCACGGGGCAGGGAACATCGTCCTCCGGATCCGAGATGCGCACTGTGCTCAGGCGACTCACGCTGGCCCTGCCGGTGATCACATGGACCTGCATATTGGGCGCAGCATTCAGCCGCCCGATGTCCGCCTTGTGGAAGAGGTGCTTCACCCTGTCCGGTTGCACAGTTGTGGGCACCTTGCCCATCGCACACATCTGATCGTGATCCTCCAGCAGCATGACATCCGTGTGATGGCGCTCACGCAGTCGCTTCCAGCGCAGCGTGCAATCCTCGATGTCCTTGTCCAGCTGCGCCACAATGCGCTTCTTGAGGGCAGCATCGTGCCGCGTATTTAGGTCTATGAGAGCCAGACACTGTTTGTGCGCCTTGACCACGGCCGCATCCTTGACCAGCTGCTCCTGCCGCAACGCCTCCTTGTGGAACTCGCACATGGGCATTGCTACGTCCTCGTCTGCTTCACCCACTTTGGCCCAGTAGTCGCTCATGATGTCGCCCACCACCCGGAAGAGCATCCGCTTCACCGGCTGGAACTTGTAGTCGGCGAACCAGCGGTTCGCCTCGTTCACCCTGTAGTTGGGCCTCTCGCCGGCGGGCCAAAAGGGGAAGGTGACCACCAGGCCGGCTGGCTTGCTGCTGAACTTGCCGACCGACTGGGGCACCTTGGGCTTCGGCAGCGGTGTGAAGTAGGGCGAGCGGACTTTCCTTAGATCCGAAACCCTTTGGGGCGACGAGGGGCACACCGAAAAGGATGTGCTGACCATCGGCGGCACTATCGATTTCTTCACCCGCTTCAAACGCTCCACTCCAGGCGGCAGGATGCGGTCCAGTTCGCGCATCGTCATCTCCAGATCCAGGTACGTGATGGCCGCCATCAGGATCTTCTCGCTATAGGCGAATCCTGCACCCTTGTAGCAGGCCTCCAGCAGGAAGTAGAGCAGGGCCAAGTCGCTGCCGCGGCACACGCTGAGCAGCTTGCGCAGCATCCGCGCCTTCACCATGGGCGTGATTCCCAGCCGGCTGAGACAGAACTGGGTGCGGTACACCGTCGCCTCGGCCTGGTCGTCCCGGATGGAGAACGCCAGGGCCTCGACGGCCTCCACCTGGAAGTCGGACAGGTTGCTGAACCACGTGGCCCCCACCGGCGCTGGCTGGTCCCGCATGGTCTATTTCTATATATTTCTATATTTGGTTTCGGAAACTATAAAAAGGGCTGAATAAAATCACTTAAAATTTTGATTGAAGCTGCGAACGTGTATGCTTTAGGTAAGGTTACAAGTTAAAACTGAACTCAGCCATTTCCTTTCAGATGTGAAGCTAGTTTGCACAGCAAACTACTCGTTTGTTATTCTTTTGTAGATGATTTCAAGTTTGAAATTAAAACAAATTTCCAAAATGCTGAACAAAATTGTACCTCAACAAAATTTTAAACAAAATTAAAATTCAATTCGATTTTATTTTACACATAAACGCACACAAAAGAAATTGTTTTATGGAAAAAGAACACAGTTTACCTTTATCAAAAAGATTATGGTTTTGTTAGTTCTCTTTAGCTAATAGACTGTAAGGCTTTAGAAAGTAAATCTTCAATTTTTGTTCGGCAGAAGTTTTACTAAAATATTTAGAAGGGATTAGAGTTCGAATGAAAAACATTATACAACAATAATAATCCGCACCCAATTAGTGTTTAATAAAGCGTATTTGTTCTCAGTAGTCTCATGTTTCCCTGCAACATTTTACCATAAAAGAAGAACCAAGAGAAATTTTGTATTTTAGTATTTACGAACAAAAAGAGTCTGCCCCACATTTTATAGTAAGTTGCAACTGAGTGCAACTAACATAAAAAACTGACACTGATAAATACGTTTTCACATGCATCGTTCAACCCATCCACACTGGATTGACGCCAACCACACTTATCGCTCGCCAATCAGCGATGATTGAAGCAAATTCATAGGTATCTGAGACTGCATTGAAACGCCATTTATTTGGCCACCTTCAACCAGGCAACAGGTGGAATCTCGTATGGTGGCCATAGTGGTTCGTATCTTTTCTACCCGTCTGTGCCATTTCCTCTCCAAGTGACAACTGACAATGATGGATTAGTTTATCAGAGCGGGTCAGGACATTCATTTGCTCTTTGTTTCGCCGTCTGTGGCAGGAAGCACACACACACATCCTCCTCCGTGGGGACTAATAACTTTATACGTCATCAGAGCGAAATATAATAGAGTAATTTTCTATGTGACGCGCCAGGATAATTGGCTGGACTTGGACTCTGACTCTGACTTGGCCATATGTCGCTGCACTTGCAATCAGATGAATTGTGAGTTGTGAGCTGTGAGTGGTGGCAGAAAGAATGGGCAAATCACATAAATTACTTTATGATGGCGTTGGGGCCATGAATCTGGTGAGTGAGGGAAAACTTTCTTTTAGCTCGGCACATGTGGTCACGGAAAGGCCAAAGGAAAAAAAAAACAAAAAAAAAACAAAAAGTGGCAACTTTCAGACTGCCGCAAGGAAGCAACAAAAGTCATTTCGAAGTTATTACCCCGCTCGCCCAACTCTCAAGTCCACAATATTAAAGCCTGGTCAGTCGGTTGCCATTTGTTTGTCGCTTCATAAAAAATGGCGAAGAAGGCGGGAAAACAAAAGTTTTCCTTCTTTTGCTCTGTGAACTTTTGTCAGCTTCGCTCTGCGACAAAGTTTATCCTTTCTATTTTATTTTTCTGGCCAATTTTTGTTTTTGTGACTGACCATTTTGAAAGATTTTATGTGTTCGTTTTTGGCTGCCGAAAAAAGTTTTCCATTCAAGAAACTTGCATGAAAAATGCAATTTCAAAAAAAAAATTTAAGTTTTTCAGTTACTTCTGCTAGAGCAATATGGAAATGATTAAATTTGAAAATATTTTACTCCAGGGGCTTGAAAACAGTTCAAAGAACTAAGTGGATTGTGCTGTTAAAGTTGAGTTTGATACAAAACGAATCAACTTGAGTACGTATTTGAAATAGTCTTCAATATAACAATTATCTTTAAAAAATAAATTCATTGTAATGAAGGAGCGATACGAAGTCCAATATGAGAAGTTTGCTAAGATGGAACTATCTGAAGATGGCGGTAAGAGTTACAAAGCTATAAGTACGGCAATAAACTTCATTTAACTCCTAATAGATGCGAAAAATGTTATGATTGAAAAAATAGCTGTGTGCTTGTCCTGGATTCTTGTGGTGATGTTTTTACCCTTCTCCCTGTGCATTTGTCTGAACGTGGCCGCCGAGTACCAGCGAATTGTGATGTTCCGCCTGGGTCGCATAAGGTAGTATCACCTACTTTAAAGCATTGTCCATTTGAGTAATCCAAATTCTCGCTACAAGAAACTGCTATGGTCCAGGCCTTATATTCCTGCTGCCCTGCATCGATTCGTATGTTACTGTGGACATTCGCACCGATGTGGTGAACGTGGATCCCCAAGAGATGCTAACCAAAGACTCGGTGACAATAACAGTGAACGCGGTAGTTTTCTATTGCATCTACCATCCCATCGACTCGATCGTCAATGTGGACAATGCCAGGGATGCCACCGAACGCATTTCCCAGGTCACCCTGCGCAACATCGTGGGCTCGAAGCCACTGCACGAACTGTTGACCTCCAGGCAGCAACTGTCGCGGGAAGTCCAGCTGGCGGTGGCCGAGATCACGGGACGCTGGGGCGTGAGGGTGGAGCGAGTGGACCTGTAAGCCAAACACTCCACCTACAGTTGACCTCCACTTTGGGAGACTTATTCCGCAGCATGGAGATTTCATTGCCCAGCAGCTTGGAGAGATCGTTGGCCAGCGAAGCGGAGGCGGTGAGGGAAGCCCGGGCCAAGATCATTTTGGCCGAGGGCGAGGCCAAAGCCTCAAAGGCTCTGAAGGAAGCCTCCGATGTGATGGCCGAGAACCAAATTACCCTACAAGTAAGCTTCCGAGAAGGGACATGTATCTAAGGTTTGGTTTGGCTGATCCTTTTTTTTCCCAACTTAGCTGAGGCATCTTCAGATCCTCTCATCTTTGGCAACGGAACGTCGTGTAAATGTCATATTTCCCATTCCCTTGGAAATTATGGAACCATTTGTTGATGGAAGTGAATCGCCTGCACCAAAGCAGGATGACAACGAAAGGGATCAATCTGATTATTTAAATTTGATCTCGCCAAAAGTTTACATAATGGGTCCTCCACCGGACAGCTTTCCTGGTGAGAATGGTAACCAAAATGGACAGGAAAATGAGAAAGGCCGAACTTGGAAGTGGCCACCATTTTTGAGACTCTCGCGAAGTGGTGAACGTGGTGAACAACCTTCCAGCAGCCAGCCATCGACCAGCACAGGGACCAACCGAGCAGCTGAGGTCGAACCCTACCCACTGCTTTCGAAGCCACCAGCTCGTTCTAGTTCTGCGCCTGCTAAGCCATCTCCCATACCCCTTCCCCCACGCCCCGATCCGCCGGCACTTCCTCCCATTCCTCCCCATCCGACCTTACCTCCTCTTCCCGAACGCCCCATACCACCGGCCAAGTCTACTTCACCTCCAAGGGAAGACAGTCCAAAAGTACCAAAGTCCGACAAAAACTACTATTTTTAGAAGCATTTGTTTAAAAGCATTTTGTGGATTGTGTGATAAAATAAATATTAATACTCAGAAAAGTTTGTGTTCCAAATTTTTACTTTACACTATAAAATAAACTGCAAAAAAACTTATTCGATTATATATCAAACTTGATACTATTATTATTAGCCAAACTTATTGAAATTAGCCAAACTTGCCAACAGTTTTATCAAAAGATCGATTTGAATTTTATTTCATTATACAATATACCAAAAAACGAAGCAACTTATTTATGTAAACATTTTAAGATAAAAGACAGCTACTTTTTTGTTTTTGTAATAATGTCGAACATGAAAGATATTTGCGATGGGGGGCAGGAACCAAAATGGAGGTCGGACGTGGACATCGAAAAGCTACCGAAACACAAAATGATCACATCCCAGGAATGCATGCTGCTAAAACGTGATTTGGAATCCGATGGTCAAGATGACTTCGAAGTTAGTCCCATGATCCTTTGCCTGATGCTAACCCTTTTACTTTTCGTAATCGGCTTCTGGATATGGTTGATCTCCAAGAGCTGTCTCTTTGCCCAACCCGATGAGGTTAGAAAAAAGAGAAACGCAAAGCGCCGGCTTTCAGGAGGTAATAATCCAAGGGCAAACAACACAAATGTACGCATTTTGGACATATCGTCACAAACCCAAATGCTATCGCTTTGTAAACTCGAACGAGATGACTCTAATAGCTCGCGAAATCAGAGCTGTCCACTTAAAGTGTGCAATACAGGTTCCTATGGAGGTCCCAGCCAGTGCATTCCAAGGGCAACCTACTGTAACTTAATGGTATTGCCCACCACATCGCCATCTTGCACAGAACAAGCCGCAGAAATGGAGTCACAAACTGTTACGGAAGCTACAACTGGATCATCAATGCTTAGATCCACCGAATCTTCCCCAAGCCAAAGCTGTCCAAGACTCTCAACGATAATAGAAAGAAATGAACTGGAAGTGCCCACAACTCGAGCTGAGGTTGGATCACCACTAATGTACGGCAGTATGCCTTCAAATTTCGGGAGGGAAGTGCCCAAAAGAAAATACAGTATTAAGTGGACCAATTTTTTAAGGCAAGGACGAAAGGATCACTGCGATACCCAAAGCCCACAGTGATGCCTTATTGATAGAAAAAAATAATTAAAAAAAAAATATTTAAAGAAAATTGTTTTACAATTACCAAAAATAATATAACTTTTAAGAAAACAACTTTGCGATTTTTTTTCAAAAACGAAAATGAACAGAAAACAGTTTAGAATGCGAATACAAATTATTTAAAGAACGTCAATGTCAAATTTTCTTAAAATAAAATTTGCAATACATAAGATATAGTTTTTAGTAAATTTGCAAAAACCTCGTTTAAAATTTTCTGAAGATATATGATATACTGTCCAAATTTATCCATAAGAATAAGGAACAAGGAAAACTTGAGCAAGCTAAAGGAAAAATAATGAAATGAGAAGCAAATTTGTTTGAAAAAACTCGTCCCCAAGGTAATGAATCCCAAAAAATGAATCCAGCCTGCAGAGTGAGCCTGGAGAGCACGGAGTGCCAGGAGTGGATGAACGAGGTGTGCGCCCACTGCGCCCATCTGCTGCCCAGTGCGGAGCAGGCGGAGCTCTGGGACAAATGGTGGGCGGACGACCTGCCCGCTCCCTTCAAGAACCGCGTTAACCTGATGACCGCCTACGATTGCCACAAGTTGCGCAAGGATGTGGCCCGCCAGGTGGCGGCTCTCGGGGATCAGGAGCGGTACGAGGGCGCCAACGACCACGACTGGTGGTCCGTCTATCGGGATATCCTCATGATCCCGGTGTTGGTTTCCGTGCTGATCGCTATTGTGTGCGCCCTTCGAATCCTCTGCAATGCCCTCCAGCGTTGTTCAACACCAATGCGCATGGAATATCCTCCTCCGGCGGAGTTGAAGCCTGAGAAAGGGCAAACAACACCGTCCACGCCAACTGATGTGGTGAGCCCGCCCCGAAAAGATCCCAACAAGCCGTCCAAGTCGTCCAAGCCGTCCAAGCTGCCCAAGTCCTTCATCTCCTTTGGCCGAAACACCGATCCGCGCACCCGTTTCGGTCCCTACAAGCACCAGAAGCTGCTGAAGACCTCCTCCCTGCAGGAGCTCCAGCACCAGTTGAAAGCAAAGCCAGTACCCCGACCGGCGGAGAAAAGCGACCAGCACTCCGAACAGCAATCGACGGAAAACAAATCGGCCACAAAATAACCGTCGAGGGAGCGCTGGCCAAAAAATCGAAAACAAATCCGAAGGCTGTCGAAGCTGTGCTCAATCGCGGATAAGATTTATGAAATGTGTTCCGCCCCGATTTGTTCTCGTTTTCCTGGTTTGCCTCTAGTTGGTTTGCGTTTCCCTTTTTTATGTAGCCGTTCAGCGGCGAAACACAAAAACAAATAAATATTGAAGCGGAGGTACAGTGGTTTTCGAATGGCTCAAAAGCCTTACCAAAGTGCTGTCCTAAACTAAAAATATTTACGATCTATTTTATTTAATTGGTTGAATGTTTATTTTTGTGGATCGTTTTAAATTTTTGATTGGAGCGCTTAAGCTTTAAGGGTTCACAAAAATTGTTAACATGAACGTACGAACAAAATGATTTTATCGATATAGCAGCATATTATTATACCGAATACAATATTGTTTTGGTTAGCAAATACATTCATTTAATTCGTTAATAAACATTTTCTTGAAAGAATAAACACAATTTAATAGAAATGTACGAAACGCACATTTTTTTCCTGTCCGGATATTTTTTTCCGCTACTCAAATCCACTGTAAATATGGTCTTTTGGTGGCGGATTCGGAATCGGGAATGGGATCAGGAATGGGATCGGGAATGGGAATGGGATACACACCCGAAAACATGCATGCCGTACATTTGGCCCGAATGACCTCAGAGAAGTGGCTGGCCAAGTGTTGTTCCTGGCAGCGTATCAACGTTTTGCCTATAAATACGGCGGATGTCGTTAATCTCAAATACAGGCAATTTTTAAAAATGCATGGGGTATTGTTTATCGCACGCCCGGCTGAATGGGCGGATGCTTCGGAGGACTGAGATCGGAGGTCGGAGGTCGGAGGAGAATGAGTGAGTGTCAGAGTGCATGGGATTGGCCATAAAGAAACAATTGAATTTAATTTCAATTGAATGCACACTCAAATCGAAATTGTAGCAAACAATTTGGACAGAATGCATTTGTTTCCAAGTTATGTCTAAATGATTGCTAGAATTATGGCTGCCAGTTGAGATTTATATGCGTTTTTCCGCCGCTCCCCGCCATTTCTTTTTTATTTAATGAATTTATTTTCGGATTGAGCATGGCAGTCGAATCGTATATTCCAAACTGGTGTGACACAGCAGGCGTGTGGCGCTTAAATCACGGCCGCAACTGTAGCGAAATTGAAAACTTTTACTACACTGACTGTTTGTTTGGCCATTCGCTGAATTGTTTGTTTGTTTGTTTGTGGGTCGGTTGGTTGGTTGGTTCTCTGGTACTTTTAATTCATTCCCTGCAGCTGCCGACCTACAGAGACTAAGATATCGAAGAGGAAGGACGACGACCCCTTGCTGACTTTGATTTATTTGTTGTTCCCCCTATCCAAATGGAATTAAAAGCTTAACAGCTTTGCGTTGCGCTTTAGTGCTTTAAAAATGCATTGATTGCTATTGACAAATTGATTTTCTTTCCTGCCCGAATGCCCGAATGTCCGAATGCCAGTTTCAATTCGATTCAGCTGCATTAACAAAGCGCGCCGGACATTATGACAGACTGTCGTCGTAAATCAGCAGCCGCAGACCGCAAACGAGTTGAGGCTTCTGTTTCTGGTCGTGTCAACCCTTTGGCCCGGTCACTCGACCTTAAACGGTCGTCGGTCGACGGTCGACAGTTGGACATTTAATTTGGCCAAACAATTAAATAGCTGTTGAGCTTGAAGTCTTTGCCATAATTAAACCTTAAATCAATATTTGCAGATTCTCAAGTCATATTAGAATTCGATTTTCTGCATGCGGCATGCCTAGCAAATTTATTTATCGAATCAATCACTGGGCCATTGATTGAGGTGCGCTCGCAAAGTATTTACCCACATTGATTTGTCCCGTCGGGCCTGCGTATGCTCATGCCACATTGTTTGCCCCATCTTTGAACTGAAATTGATGAAGCAATGTTTTTGATCCTGTGCTGCAATCCTTTGTTGGCCTGACCAAACTCCGAAGTGCTTCCTCCGCCATGTGGCATTCGTAAGCAGGAAGGCACACATCCATTTCAGAATGCGTCGACAGCAGTCGGTGGTTGGTGACTGGTGGCTGGGGTGTTGGTGGGTCGAATGGTTGAGCAGGCATATTAGAATTTGATAAATGTGCAGCACGAAACCAGGACGAAATGCACTGGCATATACGTTGCACTGGGAGAATATCATGTGGTTAACATTGTTTGAGTGAGTCTTAATCAACAAATTAATGGCGTTTTGCCAGAGGTGAAAAGTAGAAAATCAAAACTTAGGCAAGAGCAAATTGTTTAGTAAGCCTATGACTTGGTTGGACTACCTCAACTTAGAGCCCTTAAGAACTATAAGAGCTTGCAACACTCTTAGAGTGTTAATAGCTTTCAAATATGTAGCGTTAAACAACTGAAGTCAATAGACATCCATATCCATAAGGTACAAGGTATTATATTATTTATATATAAAGTTAAACGGTGTCATTACTGGGTAGTTTAATTATTGTCGGTTTCTGATTAGCTGTCGCAAGTTTTCCATTCAATCATTTATACTGTCAATTAAAAACTATTAAAAGCCGGTTTTAAATGCTCGAAATGAAAGGAAAAACGTGAAGAAGTAATTAATTTTTAAGTACACTATTTAATTATGATAAGTAAATTTATTCAATTAAAAAGTCCTTGAAACAGCACTGCATTATTAAACCTTAACTTTACTGTTATAATATTTACCTTGGCTGGCGTATAAATTCAAGGCATTGATCAGGAAAAAAAGGTTTGATTAGGAATCCCTAGTTGGAGTTCTCCCTGTGTAATGCAGCCTGTTTTCACGGTTCAAGCTGCATTCTTTACACGATTTAACTCGTTGATTTTGTGGCTTACACTCATTAAGCCAGCCTGGGCCCCACTGCCATTGTTTGTATACGAGTCGAGAGGGGTAGGAAGGGGGAACAAGCTGCTAACCGAGCCTGGACAATCACCAGAGCCCTCTTACTTTAGCCATTTAAGCAAGCTGCATAACGGCTCTTTGTTTGATTGAGACTAGCAGTAGGTCTTCGCCACGGAGTTGGATTCGCATGTGGTTGCTCATACGCCCCATATGCCCGCGCCATCCGAGACCACTGGCCTTCATCGTTAAAGATGTGGTTTGCATGTCGACGCTGATTTTTATTCTCGGGGTCTCGGTCTCGGTTCCCGACTTGATTTATTTCCCTGCCCTTGCGCCGGCTGCAATCCTCAGCTGGCCATTGTGCTGCGAGTCTCACTTTTCAAGAACTCAAACAAAGCATTAAATCGCACAAAGGCGATATGGAAAATATTAATAATATGCCCGGCCAGCGATTCTTTGGCCACAGTCTCAGAATTTACGATGGCCCATCGCCGATTTATTCCACCCACGACCGCGCCCACACGGTTTGACCTCATTTCACATTCAGGGGTCAGTCGTGGCGGTTTTAAAGAGTTCAAATATGTGGGACCGCACATTGAAGTACTAGTCTTTTTCAGATAAACATCACAGGCTGCCAAAAATCCTGCATAATTCAACTGAGCATGTCGTTAAAGCCATCGCCCGAGTTAGTAGTATTTATTCGGAGCGCATTATGTGAAAATCGTCATTCGAATTATCGGTAAATATGAATTTTTGATTTGATTGAATTTGAATTGCATTGGAGGATGTGTATTTGGCGCATTTCGGAGCGCAAGCTTCCAACTTTACAATGCATAATGCCGATATCACTGGATTTGCTTTCCGTTGATAGCATTTGTGTTTGTATAAATCGCTAGAATCGCCAATTAGTAATAATGCAAAACCAGCCAGTTAAACTATTGTAATAAAAAAGTGAAAACTATGTATATACATTTAAATATATTTAAATACTTATCAAAGAATATTTATATAAAAAGTTTAATCTAGAATTAATTTAATTACATAATAAATACCCTTTCATGGGTAATTTGTTAATACTTGTTTATTTTCTATTATTATTGCGCCTATACGAATGTGCATTTTTAGTATCATTTATATCAAAACTTTCACACAAGCGCAAGAGTTTGATACGCTTTAAATGGTTTGACTTAGGTAAGTAAGCCAATTAAGGATAAGAGTCAAATAAATAGTTAAGCAAACCCATTAATTTTTCAATAAACACACTTTCACCGTAATTTAAAATATACTCGTTTATATAAGGCCAACTAACTGACAACACAAAAGCGAAGGTGGCTTTATGCACTTTTAATCATTTGAATCGTTGATTGAATGTGCTCACTTAAAACAATTGTTAATTAAATGGATTTATGCAAAGTCATGCGGCTTTTGTAAACTGTAGCTTGTCATTATAAATCCATGATAAACGACAGCACAGAACTGGCCAGAGAGAATAATTAAACAATTTAATGATGGTTAATAACAAGTCTATGTGACAGACTTAACCTCAACTGTGATGCTTGGGGCCCGACAACAACCTTTTTGATTATGTGCAAATCAGTTTTCACAGCAAATTAGGCAGCCACACATTATAACTTTGACAGACAGGACCGACCCCGACCCCCAAGGGCGTCCTCGACCGCAGATCCACCTTTTCCTCGTCAAGCCAACCCCTTTCAACGCCATTCATAGACAGTGGAAAGTTCCCCCGGAGGCTCTTAAGAGTACACATGTAGCATATGTATGAGGGGCATCAAAAGTTTGAAAGCAGCTGCCGCCAAATGAAAGCGGGGTAATCCTCTACCGCCACCAATCCTTCCCGAAAGTCACACAGAGGCCATAGTGAAACAAAAAAAAAAAAAACTTTTCGCGGCCACGGGACCATGAAAGAGCCAAGAAAATTCAAACAAAAGTGCAACAACTTTGGAGGCAACGGTTGAGAATACCTTTTTTTATGCGCCTCCCGTAGGAAAAGTTTCCTTATCCATTCGAATGACACTTAAACACTTGCCATGTAATTTATCTGATGGCAGACAAGTCTGCAGTCAATAATAAAAGGATATAAAATAATGAAAATACGAGAAACGAAGAAATCAAAAGCTAGGAAACGTATGAATTTGAAGTATAAACGATTGAACCGCAAGCGACAAACTTTGTTCACTACCTTTGGAATCTTACACGAATTTACTGCAAGCATTTGCAAAAAGCATTTGAATGAAATCGCAAGGTCTGTATTTGAAAGAAATAAATCTTGTTACAATTAAAGGAAAATGCAACAAACTGCATTTTATTAAACGAATTAAACTGTCTGCTTCTATGCTAAAAATTTGTTTTTGTAGGGCAAGTCATCAGAAAACATTGCAATGCATTCAACCAAGCAAACAAAAAAACGTTTATCTCACAAATATAAAATATTTATCGTCTTGTAGTCATAATACTTGTAGTATAAATATTTAACAATGAACCTGCATCAATTCAATCATATGTGCGTCCTCTCATTCAACACAAAATATTTTGGGTAGCCCCTTTGCACCATTTTGAGGCATTTTAACCTTCACTTAATATTTAAAATAGTTTTCTTTAAGAAAATACCACACGCATTCGTTCCAAGTTCAAGTTTTATCCGGAAGAAATCCTCCGGTCAAATCTCATTTAATTGCCTTGTGATGTAACCAACATCCTTTGACTGAGAATGGTTCGTTTCAAATTTCGCATTTTGCAACGGAAATTTCGGGCGTATTCTGTTTCTATTCATACATTTCCATTCCCAATCGGCCTTAATGAGGGGATTTTCTTGTTGGCAAACTGTTGAATGCTGTTCCCTCTGCGTCGTGCGCATGACTGTTCCCATCTTCAGGTCACTGTTAACCGCTTCGTCCGATGGAAAGTGTTCCCAGTTTTTAGAAACCTCAATTTGAATGCTTTAAATTTTGTCAAGGTAGATTGCTAATTTATATATAAAAGATTTCTTAAATAATTAAAAACTCATTAAATGCCTATTAATATGAGAACACCCAAACTTCATGTCGCAAGAAATGTCAGAAAATTTGCGAATGAAATATTTGTTTAGTACTTTTTTTATTCATATGAGTATAAGGTTTTAATTTATTAAATGATTACTAGCTTCGCTCACCATAAAGTGATTTTAAATATAAATTCCAGAAGTGTAACATCTATATTTATTCAATAAAACAGTTTTTTATTGTACTATCTAAATGCGTTGAAGAATAATAAATATTCGTTGTCAAAATTTGAGGTTTCGATATTAAATCATTACCATAATTTTTTGAAGTTCCTTTGCAAATAATACCTTTATTAAAGCGTCACCACACATTCAGGCTGTAAACAGCAAATTGAGTGTCGTTGAGTAAGTAGGTCAAGTATTTTGACATTTTGTCCAATATATAATTGTACCAGCCACTTTACTAATTAAATGAAGACAATTTTCTTTGTGCACCGAACTCGACTGGTGGCACCTGTCTTCCACCTGTGCACCCAAACACACTCCCTGCCACTTTCATTCGCAGTCATAAGGGCTCTGGCCATGAAAGCTGTGCCGCCAATGACAATGAGATGAAACGCCCCCCAGTTATTTTCATAAGGCTGACGGTCCGGGGCGTTGGCGGGATCACTCTGTTGAAGGCGTTTAATCTCATTCATTTTGAATAAGACCGGCTCCAGTGTATTTAGCCTGAGTACTTGTGTCAACACAATTCAAGACGGTCTCAAATTAAAAGGCCGTGTAATATGCTCCTCTATGAGACTGTTTTTGTTTTGGTTTTCTTTTCTCCCAGGTTCTACTTGGCTTGCGCCTAGGCAAATGTCAATATTCTTGGAGGCTGCCATCGGAGCAAATTGCCTCAGGCTGACGTCAGCAACTTTGCGAGAAAGTGAAAGTAATTAAAAAAGTTTAGCTGTACGGATTTTCAAAAATATTCAATCGCTTCGCCAAACCAACTGCAAGTCTTTCAGAGGTAGACATTGGTCAAGAAAAGCAACAAATAAGAAATTTTCTGCAATAGGTAGTACTACTACCAACAAATGTTGCAATTCAATTTTGGTAAATTCCATCTTTCCTTTTCAAACTATTCACTTTTACAAATTGAAAATTCGAACAGAAATTCTGTAGCATGAAGCCAGTTAGGTTAATAGCGAGGTATTTTCCTTTAGCTTATTACGTACTTTGCATGAAATATTAAATTACCGGATTTTCTTTTATTATAATATTCGCAATATTAATCCCATGTCTTGCAAAAAAAAGCTTACAACGTTTATTCACAATTGAATTTAAATTAAAAACTCATATAAATACGTTTTCATGTGTTTAAAAAATATAAATTAAATAACAAATATAATATACATATAAAATAATTTATCTTTCATTTCCTAATTAAAAAAGAAAAAATGAGGTATTTTTATTTTGTATTTGTTTATATTTTCCTAAAATTCATACCTAAAATGTATTAATAAAACCAACAATAAAACCATTTTTAAAGTTGCAGTATAATAAATTTATCAATATTTGTATAATAAATGCCTTGAAACAACAGTTGGTTTTATAATTTTATGAAATATGCCATCTATATGTTATTTTAGAAAAAAATATATATTTTTTAGTTATATTATTATAATTTTGCACAACTTTGAAGAAACGACAAATTTTATAAAATACCCTTTAAAATTAAATCAATATCTTCGGTTGTAGCCGTTTGGACTATATTTTTGTGCACTTATTTCTGTTTAATTGACATGTCATTTAATTTTATTATTGTGCACAAAAAATTTTTAAGCAGAATTATTTTTAATAGAATATGTTACACGACAATAAACATTTGCCTTGCAATAAGCCATCAAAAGCCCAAATGACCATTAAATGGCCATATCTACATATATAATATGTTCTCTTAAAGAAAAGTTAAAGGCAACTTTCGGATATATGGGTTTGGGGCATATTGACTTTACGCAGCCTGAAAATTGGCTACGTGACTTGACAATACAAAGAAATGGCGATGGCGGAGACGATGGCGACTCTACGATGTTGATGATGATGGTGCTCCTGATGGGGATGATGCGAAGAGCCGCATGAAATGCAAATTTGGTAGCATTAAGTGGGGTGGAGAACGCAGTGCAAAGGAAAGGCAAATAAGGCACAAGGCCGGCAGAGAAAAAAAAACAAGTTGTTGGCTTAATTTCGTCACAGGCAGCTTGTTTTCATTAACCGGCCACCGAGGAGCTTTTGACTTGGGGCCCGCTGCTCGTTATGCGTATGAGCAATCGATTAAGAATAATGTGCCGATGGATTTACAGTTGCAGCAGAGAGCAATCAACATTAAGCGTTTAGTCTGATCCTTTAAAAAGAGGATGGGATACAGAAAATGGAAAAACAAAGTTGTAGGTTATGATTTCCCACGATTTGAGAAGAAGCAATGTGACAGCTAGGCAAATTATATAACGAACGAGCCAGATTGGACGACTATAGCATAGGAACAATCAGGAAAATAAATTTTAAAAAATTATAACATTGCTAGTTTTTAATTTAATTCTTAATTTATCGAGATGTAGTAAATGTTAGATATTCCAAAATTACTGATTAAATTTCATTAAAAGGACGACTTCATCATATATATATAAATAAAATAAAATTTAACATCTCAATTTTTTAGTTTTTTTAAAAAATACTTTTTGACTATGTAATAGTTTGATATTTCAGAATTATGCATATATAAATCGAAATTAAAACGTTTAAAGAAGTATTTAATTTGTCCAATAACTGCAAGTTTGCTTCCTTTCTTGTTTTTAATAACTTTTTTGTTAAAGCTATATTTCTACACAAACATAAAAAATACATTTTATAATATTTGTTGGTCGAATACATTTTTTTTATATTTAATTCTTTATTTTAATTTTGCATTTGCAAAATGAAGCTACAGCTAGTACTGCGCTACACTTACTTATCCCTCGTTGCCACACACACATTTGTATGCACACCAGAAAGTTGATTATTAAGTGCGTTCGCGAGTTGCTTCTCTTAATACCTTTTGCTGCAGTTCCATGATCCAGCGGCATCCTCGCAGGTCCTTGTTGTTGCTTTTGAATGCTGCTGACGGCCAATTTCTTTATTGCACTTTAATTTATCTGTCGGTCCCAGTTTCAACTTCGCTTACCTTTTCAATTTATCGGCTCCATATTAAAGATAAGTCAATGGTCCATAATGGACGTGCGTTTTTCTGTCGGACATTAAATGCCGGACACAATAGCCAAATGCCACAATTTTACATTTATTTTTCAGACTTTAACGTAAATGTCCAACATGAATGTTGATAAAATACTTTAAATGTATTGCTTTAAACATAAATGTTTATTTTTGTAAATATTAAACAAGTTAATGGTAGGACTTAACTTAATAGGAAAGGAATTTATAATTCATGAAATATAATAGGATCAACTATTCCGTCTCGAATGTTAAACACAAAGGATAAAAGATATTAATAAAAAAAACTAGCGAAAGATATTAATAAAATGTAGATTCGATTTATAAAATGAATAAGAAAGTAAACTAATCATATAAAGCGTTTAAATGGAAAAACAATTTAAATGGCTAGAAAACTGCGCCGGAAATCGATGTCGCATGAATTGCGATACCGTCCAATCTTTCGATTGCTCATTTGCCGGAAACGGCGCATGGCCTCGTGGATTTCCGGCACACTGATGGGCTTGACGACTTCCAAGCCGCGTCCCTGGGTGACCTCGGGACAGACGTGCATCATGGCCGGACTGCCGCCAGCGGAGGTCACTCGACTGTAGGGCTCGGTGACACGGTTGCTCGAGTTTAAGCGCGTTAGAATCGAATAGTCGACAATGGCGGCGATGGTCTCATGGGCCAAGTAGGCCAAAATGTTCATGGTGGGCGTGGGGATGCGCAGGTCGGCGGGAAGGTCGAGAAAGCGCCTGAACTTGTTCTTGATCTTCTCCCCGTGGCGACAGTAGAAGGAGGTCTTGCGTGCCTCGTTAAACTCCAGGTACTGCTGGCCGGTTAGGATCTGCGAGATGCGATCGGCGCGAAACAGCCGGCGCATGCGGTCCTCGTCATGCAGCTCGTGCACATCGATGGCCAGCTCCTCGTCCTCTTCCTGCTGCTCTAGGTCGTCCATAAAGTCCTGCGGCCTACCCGTGCGGATGCTGAGGAATCGCTTGAGAATCCGCATGTCCTTCAGGTGCTTTCGCATGCGCGCTATCTTCACTGGATGGTTGCGCATCAGGAACTCGAAGTCCGCCTGCGAGGGGCAGGGATTCTGCTTACGGCGCATGGCCACCAGAGAGGCCTCGTTGAAGATACCGCGCAGCTGCTGTTGCAGGATCTGCTCCACCAGCTTGACGCTCGCTGTCCTCGGCTGGTCGCTATCGCCAAAACTCCGCATGATGTCCGCGATCTCCGTGAGCAGGGAGACGGGCGCATCGTCGGGAATCTGGACGTTGGAAGCGTTGCTTCCACTTGCGCCGCCGGCTGCATTTTGTCCAACTATGGTCACCTGCTGCGGCGAGGGATTCGGCGGAATGGTGGCACTCTGCAGCAGGATAACCTGGCGCTGCACATGAAGTGGCTTGATGTCCTCCGTGGTCTGCAGCTGCGGCGTGCTTGGCGCCGAGGGCGGGGCAGCTCCTACCATTACCGGCGACGATGCCAAGTCGTTGGAGCCTATGCAAACCGAATTCTGGCGCATCACACGCTTGGCATTGTAATTCATTTTATTTACAAACAAAGTCACCAATTCAATCGCCACACAGCTGATAACTAGAGAATACAGTAGGCCCGGCGAATCAGAGATGGCCTATCGTGGAAAAACTTAATGCCGATGGGAACGATATATTGAAAAGGTTTGCATGTAATATAAAATATAACATTTTATATATTTTATAAATATTATAATAACATAACATATAATAACTATTACTTTTATTTGTTAAGCAAAATATTTTTGGTTTTGATTTTGTTTAATTGTTGGCTTGCGACACCTTTGCACTATCGCTGTAGCGGAACTATCGGAACTATCGATTGCGCTCGTTTCGAATCGGAAGCAGACAGCTCCGCTCTAGTCTACGCACCACCATTTTTGTTTGCACTGATGATAACTAGTAAAGTAAAAGACAACAAATCGGATTAAAAAACCGCCGCAAGATGTTCAATGGCATGGTGAGAACCATCCGCGACAGCGTCGTGGGCACCTATCCGTCCTGCCACGTGACCTCGCGGCTGGAGGAGCGCCGGGCCAAGCAGCGGGCGATGCGCCAGGAGCGCAGGCGGAAACCGGACAAGCCGGACGACTTTGTCACCTACGAGGATTCGGGCAGCGATGAGGAGACGCCCCAGCAGCAGGAGGAGGTGCTGAACACGTCTTACAACCTGTGCGACTACCTGCGCAGCCGGGAGAGCGGTCTGCGAGATGTGGGTATACCTCTGCAGTTGCACCATTGGACGTTGCATTGCTAACGTGAACTTTGCCCCATCTTTCCCTGCAGCGGCGCAGCGTCAATGTGGAGTACACCAGCCGCTATGTGCTCACACACGACATGCTGCGCGAGACGCAGATCAGCCTGGGCTACATCAACAAGGTCTTCTGCTCCAAGTGGCTGAGCAGTCGGCAAGTGGTGTTCGGGACCAAGTGCAACAAGCTGCTCGTCTACGACGTAAACATGCGGCGGGTGGACGCGATCCCCACGCTATCCAACAGCCGGGCGAACCATCCGGAGGTGCAGGGCGGGCTGCACGCCATAGAGCTGTCGCCCAGCCGCTCCTTTCTGGCCACCGGGGCGCGCAACTCCTCCGACATTGCCGTGTACCGTCTGCCTACCCTAGATCCCGTGTGCGTGGGCGAGGGTGGGCACCGCGACCTGATCATGGGCATGTGTTGGCTGGATGACCAGTTTCTGGTCTCCGGGTCTAAGGACTCGCGCATGGCTCTGTGGCGCATCAACGAGGACCACATGGAGTTCCCGGACGGTGGCGAGGAAGCCTGTCCCACCTTTGCCACAATCCATCCGCTTAGTGTTAAGGAAGTTCGCACTGCCCAGAGGGTAAGTTTAGTGCTGCACGACGTTTGGAGTACGCTTCACAACCTGTTCCCTCGCAGATCCGATCGCTTTGCTTCAATAAGGAGTTCAAGGAGATCGCCGCCCTCTCCCTAAATGGTTACATTCACATCTTCAACGCGGAGACCTTCAAGCAGACGCTCTCCCGCAAGCTGCCAAACTGCCAGGACAACGTGAGCATCGCCTACCACAGCGATGGCCTGTATGCGGTGGGATGTCGCTCCTACACCATCCTGCTGGACGCGCGGACGCTGCAGACCATCAAGAAGATCACATCCCGCTACAGTGGCTGCGGAATCCGGGCCACCTCCTTCGAAGGCAACCTGCTGACCGTGGGCACGGGGCTGGGTATGCTCCTCTTTTATGACATCCGCGCTGGAAAGTATCTGGAGAGCAGTGTGAATGCCTCGCGAACAGTGGCGCTTAAATGCAGCAAGGGAATTGTGGTAAGAGGAAGTGATACGGTTATGTCTATTTACATAAGAATCAAGGAATTCTCTATTTTAAAAACAATAACCATTCACGTCGGTCTTCATTTTGTGTTGCAGTACCCAGAGGACGAGATGGATGGCTTCCAGCAGGTAAAGTACGTGCCCGCCATCTACACCCACTGCTACGACAGCACCAGGATGCGCCTCTTCGCAGCGGGCGGACCACTGCCGGCCACTCTGGTCGGGAACTACGCAGGCGTTTGGCAATAGGTTCACATTACTGATTAGTCTTTAAGTAGTTATTCGACTTGTGATCTTTAATCTTTTGGCCTATTTTGATTCAAGGCGTTAGCCTGCCCATGTATTCAGCCAAGTCCCAAATTTTTAACTAGCTTGATTTACTCAGATTTGGTTTTAATCATTTTTATGTTAGGTTTATGTTAATGATATTTTATATTGTGTGTGAACAATATACACCGTTCATAAGTGTAAATGTATGCATAATTACCGATCCTATTTATATATAGTACATACAATACATGTAATGGAATACTAATTTATAGACAATGCATCTGATTTATAGTCTGATCTATATGGTAATAGAATTTCAAATTAAAGAAACTATGAAAAGAAACCGAAACGGACTTCAATCTACAATGTGTGTGTATTGCTCAGAGAGTGCTGTATAGGACACTCAATACAACGGATATGAACATATATATACGAGTGTACAAAGTACGGCGTGCCAAATAGCAACGGGCAATTTTAAAATACATAAATATAAAAAGAAATTGTACAAGATTTACAGAACCTATGCTATGCAACTGTTCAATGACTGGCGAATATCCACATCCAATAATACCAAAAATTATCATTTATATTTTAGGATGACAGCTAGTTATTGTTATTGGCGGCGCCTCCTCCACTCCACGCAGAGAGGAATCCCGTCCAGCTGCGACTGCTGCCATCTGCAGATACTGGTAGAAAAAATACGAATATAAAAAGGGGGATCCATACCATTGATTGTAAGCTAATAGTTACCCTTCTGTCCTTTGGCTACAGAGTTGAGCATCTCCATCTCGTTGCGACTCAGACGGAGAATTGTATTAAGCACGGGAACCAAACGTTGCCGCTCGTCCACGTTGTTAAGTGTAAGGAACTGCAAATTGATATAAAGTGATTTTAGTAGTGCAACAAACTGATAGTAATTATGCCCACCTTCATGAAGACGTTCTTTAAATACTCGGAGTTGTGCATATGCTGTTCCCGCTCCTCAGAACGCTCTTGGCGGCGCAATTCCTCCTTAAGCATGTCGTTCATCTGGTTCAGTTTGGCCAGATCCTGCTCGTTTTCAGCCAACAGGGAAGTCAAGTGCTTGACGCGACTTTCTTGTATACCCAAGCGCTCCTTTGTCGCCTGCAATTGGGCACTCTGGACGGAGAAGTCCCCGCGTGCGGCCATCTCCGCTTCTTCATCCTCCTGCTGGGAGACGCTGCGACCGAAATTGGTGATGGTAGTTACTGTGTCACTGGTTATTTGGTTCATGGAAGTGTTGAGCAGCTCGTCAAGCGGCATAAAGTCGTGCGATCGTCTCGAGGCAGTGGAGATCTTTCGCTGAGCAGCCAGATGCGCCAGGGAAGCATCGCCCACATGGCTATCCACACCTGGCTCGTGGTCCATGAGCAAGTAATCGATCTTAGCCTGTTCCGGACTGGGCTCTCCACTCACGCCGGACGCGCTGCTATGCTGGGACACGTTGATCTGCTTCTGCTGTGCGTCCTCCAACTGCTGCTGCAGCTTCTTCAATTGCAACTGGTGTCCGGCGTCCAGTTGATCGACTTGTTGGCGATGCTGTTGCATCAGGTCGTGTTGGAATTGCAGTTGGCGTTGGTTCTCCAGCGTCAGCAGGTCGTTTTGTTGCCGCAGTTCGTCCACCAGTGTGAGGAGCTCTTTGCTGCGCCTTTGCAGATCAGCGTTGTCCTGCCTCAGTGCCTCTATCTGACCATCCATCTGGGCTAGGCGTGCAGCTTTTTCATCATTGCTGGCCCGTAGATTGCGTTCACTTTCCCGTAGGCTGACTAACTCTTCTTCCAACTCTTGGTCCCGGTTGGAGCCCTTACTTTGGTTTTTGCGCAACACCGACTGTGCCTTCAACTTGTATTCGGTGTATTCCACTCTAAGATCATCTTGAGCCCGTTCCGCATTCCGGAGTGCCGTCTCCAATCGCATTTGTTCTGCCAAGTGCATCTCAAGCTCCTCTGTTCGCGTTGTTAGCTGTTGGGTGGCAGTATTTAATCTGGATTCGTACTGCTGCGCGCTTTCCGCCAATTGAAGACGCAACTGCTCCGCCTCCAGTTTCGCCTTTTCAACACTCTGTTCCAAATCCTTGTTCTGAGTGAGCGCCTGTTGCTTGCTATGAACAGCGTCCTTGACCTGCACCTGCATGCGATCAATTTGCTCTTTCAGCTGTAGTGAGTGGGTCGCCTCTCCGTTCTTGGCCTCTTCTAGGATGGCAATCTCTTTGCGCAGCTGAACGATTGTGTTTTCCTTGCTGGCCAGCGATTCCCTGACAGCGTCCAGCTCACTGGACTTGGCCAACAGCTTGGCACTAACTTCGGTCAGGGACTTTTCGGCCGCTTCAATCTCCAGGTTGAGCACACTCGAGTGCTTCGTTTTTTCCTTGGACCTTAGCTTCTGATTTTCTGCCCGGGCAGCGTTAAGGTCCTGCTGCAGTTGGACCTGGGCCAATTTGACCGCCTCCAACTCCTGCTTCAGGGCGCCGCTCTGCTCCATCTCCTTCAGCTGCTGCGTCTGCTCCTGCAGCTTCTTTTTCAGCTTGGCAGCCAGGGCCCTCAGTTTGTGGTACTTCTCCTCGTAGCCCTCGTCCAGTTCCCGCAAGCGGCTTAGTTCCTCGGCACGTGATATCGTCGATGTGGACAGGACATCACTCTGGGCATCAGCGTTGGCCTGTTCCAACTCCTCAACACGACTCTGAAGTTGGTTTACCTTCTGAGACTTCTCCTGCACCGCCTGCTGACTGCTGGTTAGTTGGGCCTCCAAATCCCGCTGTCGTTTAACCTCCGCTTCGTGTTGCTCCTGGAGGCGGGAAATGGCGTCACCACGTCCTTTTAGCGCCTCGTTTAGTTCCCGCATCTCGGTCAGCAACTCACCATGCTCCTGCTCCTTGAGGTGGAAGCGAGTGAGCAAGTCCTCGTTGTGCTGGCGCAGTTCTAAGCAAATGGCTTCCAGATCCTGCAGCTTTCTCTGCTGATTATTGCGCTCCTTTTCAATGACTTGAACAAGATTTTGCATCTGGTTAAGTTTGGCCTGGAAAAGGTCAACATTCAGGTTGGTGGAATGGTTATTGTTCTTCTGTTGCTCTCCTGTTACATCTGCCAATTTTTGCTGGTCCTTAACAATGCTTGCCAACTTTTCAATGGCATTTAGCTTCTTCAGAAGACGCTCCACATCCAGATGACTCCTTTGCTGTTTTACCATTTTTGCCAGGCGGTCCAACTCCTGAATCCTTTGCAGCAATCGCTTACGATCGAATCCATTGTCGTTATTGCTACGATTCTTTCTTGCCATTTCGGTGTCCTGCTTTAGTTTTTCATTCTCGGCCTGTAGGGACGACATCTTTCCGCACAGGAGCTGCGAGGCCTTGATGATCTCCACCTGCCACTTGGAAATAGAGGCGGCGTACTCGTGTTGCGTCTCCAATAGCACGCACTTGCACTCCTTGAGGTTCTTCAGCTTGCGGTAGACGTCGATGAAGCGATCCTTAAGGGAGTTGAACTTTTTACGCTGCTCAGAGTTTATCTCCTTGACGCTTTGGTACTTCTGCTGCAGCATCGTCGAGTCCTCGGTCACCGTGGCCAGTTGCTGGCGAAGGCTGGCGTTTTCCGCCTCCGCTTCCTTTAACTTGGCAATGTCCACCTCTAAGAGTTCCAGATTCTTGCGCTGCTCGTTGCCCAGGGCATTGACCTGTTGCATGGCCTTCTCCATGCGATCCACATCCGCAAGGAGATCATCGTTCTCGTCACTCAGCCGCCCAAGCTGGCGCTTCAGACTCTCGTTCTCGATCTCGAATTGCGCCAAGCGGTCGGCATCCTCCTTGGTCTTTTGCTTCAGGGTGTTCACTTGCTCGGTGAGGATTAGGTTCTTGTCGGTGAAGTCCTGTACCATCTCCTGCATGACTGGCAGGCTGCTCTGTTTCTCCGCCGCCCGCTTAAGGGCCTCCTTGAGTAGGCGGTTTTCTTCGGTGAGCTCTGAAAATGAGACAAGGAGGTCAGAAAATTGCCTTCAGTTTTCTGGAAGTTTCGCCCGGGAACTTTTTCCCCCAAACTGACCATCCTTTGCCTGCTTTGCTTTCTTGGCTATGCTGAGCAGGCCTTTGTATTTGGTGATGATTTCATCTTTGCTCAGCGCCTCGATCGGATTCGCGTTCTTCTGGAAATGCAAATAGCCAGTTGAGACGTCATCATCAATTTTAGTGACACCTTTCCACTGACCTGGGTTTCCCTCGGTGTTGCGGTGTCCATGTTACTTGCTAACTGCGTGTCCTTGCATTTAATCGCGGTCCGACCATCTACTCCTCCGTTTCTGTAGGTTGGGATTTTTCCTTTTAGCCAGAAAACAAGATTGTTGGGAAATTGCTTTGGACCCTAAATCACTTTTGAGTGAAGAAAACACTGGTGGTGCCACACTAACAGCTGATAGGGTTGTCATCGCATCCAAATTAGAGATGCGCAACTTTCCATGAGAAGGTGGCGCAGAAAGACAGAAATAATCGTAATAATTAATTATTTTCGAAATGATCTATCAATTTGACCAGTTATTAATTGTGACAAAAGCTTATATCTAAGCTTGGATTACAAAAAAATTCATATAAAAGTCATTGACACTTTCCTGAAATTTGTTTGTAAGTACTTTTATTTAATTATCTTCATTTGACTTACTAGGAAATATTATAACTGATGGGTAATTAAAAAAATGAGCTGAAATGCTTAAGGTCTTCATGATTAAAAATGCATAATCATCATCAGCATTCAAGTTAACAAAATTTCTCCAAAAAAAAATCAAATTCTTTTATATAAGAAGTTGTTGTAATTTAACTTTTTGTTAGTTATGTTTTGTTTTTAACAGCCATTGGCCAGCTCATTAAATAGTTTCCCAATTAACAACTATCGCACCTGCCTCAACTATCGATAGTATTATCGCTGGGCGCTCATCCGTAGCACTGCAGTAAGCAAACAACATTTGACATCTCTACTGTGTCCCTTATCATTTTTCTTCATCCGCGGAAGTGATGGATTTGAGTGATAATAGCCAACTGGAGGATCAGTACTTTGTTTACAAGCATGAGCAGCTGTTCGGCGAGAGCTTCCCGCTGTTCAAGGAGATCCGCAGGCTGGGCAAGCTGTGCGATGTCACCCTGAAGGTGGGTGGTAGTGGTCAGAAAAGAGCAATCACCCCAAGCTCGGCGATACGGTCATTATCTAGTGTCTAAATATAACGCATCCGAATTATTGCAGGTTGAAGATCAGACCTTCTCCGCGCACCGCGTCGTGCTGGCGGCGACCATTCCGTACTTCTATGCGATGTTCACCAACAACATGGCCGAGAGCCGGATCAAGGAGATCACCATGAAGGAGAGCGCCATCGAGCCCAGTGCCCTGGAGAGTCTCATCAACTACGTTTACAGCGGCCAGGTGCGCATCGACAACCAGAATGTGCAGAGCCTGATGGTGGGCGCCTCGTTCCTGCAGCTGTCCAACGTGCGGGACGCCTGCGCCAGCTTCCTGATCTCCCGCTTCCATCCGCACAACGTCTTGGGCATCCGCACCTTCGCCGACTCCATGATCTGCCGCCAGCTGATCGACGCCGCCGACAAGTACATCGACCAAAACTTTGCCAAAGTCTCTCAGTCGGAGGAGTTCCTCGCCCTCGACTGCGACCAGCTGCTGGAGCTGATGCGCCGGGACGAGCTCAACGTGCGCACCGAGGAGGTCATCTTCGAGGCCTGCATGAAGTGGGTCAAGTACGCGGAGGATAAGCGCTCTGAGCTGTTCCCCCAGGTGCTGGCTGCTGTCCGTTTGCCCTTGCTTTCGCCCCAGTTTCTGGCGGATCGTGTGGCTCGCGAGGAGCTCATCCGATCCTCGCACCAGTGTCGCGATCTCCTCGACGAGGCGAAGGACTTTCATTTGATGCCCGAGCGCAGGGGCCTGCTGCAGAGTTTCCGCACTCGCCAGCGATCCGGGGAGTTCTTTACCGGCCAAATATACGCCGTGGGAGGATTGGCCAGCACCGGGGAATCAGTGAGCACTGTGGAGATTTACGATCCTCTTACCAAGAAGTGGAAAATGGGCGAACAAATGTCCATGATGAGGTGGGTGTTGTTGGATAACTTTACTTTTATTCTTTCCCATTCTAATCTATTATACTTGCGAACAGATCTCGCGTGGGCGTGGCCGTTCTTAATGGCAAGCTGTATGCCTTCGGTGGATTCAACGGCACCGAACGCCTCTCCACCGTCGAGGTCTACGATCCGCGTAAGAACAAGTGGTCCCAGGGCTGTGCCATGCTCTGCAAGCGAAGCGCCGTGGGCGTGGCAGCCCTGGATGACTGTATCTATGTGTGCGGCGGCTACGACGGCGTCACCTCGCTGAACACCGTTGAGGTTTACTACCCCAAGTCCAACACCTGGAAGACAGTGAGTCAATGTCTACTTGTTTAAAATGGCGAGAAAGTTGATCCCTCTTCAATTTCCCTATTTGCAGGTTGCTCAAATGATGAAATATCGATCGGCTGGTGGTGTGACCCAACTAAACGGCTATGTTTATGCCCTTGGCGGTCACGACGGATTGTCCATATTCGACTCGGTGGAGAGATACGACCAGAATGAGGATGTCTGGGTGAAGATGTCGCCCATGCTGAACCGACGATGTCGCCTAGGCGTGGCTACGTTAAACGGAAAGATATACGTCTGTGGCGGCTACTGCGGCAACTCATTCCTTCGCTCCGTAGAGTGCTACGACCCGCAGACGGACACCTGGAAGCTGGTGACACCGATGAATTGTAAACGGTCGCGTGTGGCTCTCGCCGCCAACATGGGAAAACTATGGGCCATCGGCGGCTACGACGGCGAGTCAAATTTGTCTACCGTCGAGGTGTACGATCCGGAGACCGATAAATGGACCTTCATGCCGCCCATGTGCGCCCACAGTGGCGGCGTCGGAGCAGGGGTCATACGAATCGAGTAACCCACTCGATGTGTCTGCCAAATCCATTTCTCTAGCCACTCTCGTCTTAGGTAATTTATGTGAATTGAAGCGATATAGTCTAGCCTAGATACGATTGTTGAGTGTAACCAAGCTTTAGCGGCCACTTGTCCGGCCGCCTCGTGTGCAGCTCAGCTCAGCTCCTCCAGCTCTATCAAAATTGTTCATGTATTACTCACAGTTCTTTTAGTATTTGTCATTCCAGTTATGTAATTGTTTAGTTTCTACGCCTAGCCTTAAATACTCACTAAAATGTTAATCCTTTAAATAAACATGTGAAACGCATGTTGTTTGAAAAGTAATTTATTGATTTCCTCTGCTTGCAAAGTCATTGTAATTGGAACGCAGCTGCTTGGTAAGTAAAGTAAAATTAAGAATAAAGTTATATTTTAAATCTTCAATACAAACGAAGTAACAAGCCCGCTTTCATTTTTTCTAATAAAATTAAACATGCAATTACATATACTTTAAATCACGAAAGGTACCAAAACGCTGTGCACCCGTGGCGAATTTTTTCTAAAGTATTAAAAGTTATAATCTGATTTTTACTATAATTGTATAGAGGTTTCTTAAAAAATTGGCATCTAACGAAAGGGTTCTGGATTATAAGTACACCCAGAGAAAAGCCCCATAATAAAATTAAACATTAAAATATTTGAATGTAACATAGTTATTCAAAATATAAACTTACTTAAAATAAACTATAAATATTATAATGTAATTATAAAGATATTTAATTGGTTTATCCAATCGGAAAATTGGGTTGAATTTATCATAATTTTTCTATATTAACGGCAGTATAACAAAGACATTTCCGAGTTTTTACTGAAATATCTTTAAAAGAAACTAAAAATATTTTGTATAGATTTGCGGTTTGAATTGGGTTGGAAGACATTTCTGTAACAAATAGTTTTCAACTTTATTCCCAAGCAAAGGGTATAATAATTTTAATCAGGATCTTTTTAATGTAGTTAAGCTGCATATTTGACCTTCTGTAAGTTTCCTTTAATAAAATTGTCTTCATTTTAAATCTTTTTAACTTAAACTTAAACTACAAAATAACAAATAATATCAAAATTGCATATTTGCCCGGATAGCTGCTTAAAGATAAATAAAACCCTTAATTTGAATGTTTGCCTTGAAAAATAGTAATGATTAATCTTATTTACAATCTGTAAGAGTCTTATAAAAGGTAGATAACAATTCGTTAAATATTTCTCGTTTTTACATTTCCATTGCCAACTTTTAACATCGAAATTCGCCCATCGTATAAATCAATTGTGTTTCGAACAGCCATATGGGCGGCGATACGTTTTATTTGCTCAACAATAAATGGTTGACAAATAACAAAGCAATCTGAACGACAAAAAATATGGGAAACGACGCGAGGGCGGGTTAATAATTTTATTACCGTTAACAAAATACGAAACACATTGTTGTTAATATTCTATAATTTTATCGCCAGTATTTTGATGTATGTGAAATTGTTAACTTTTTTCTTTTTTATTAATAAGTTAATAATTGTTGTAATAAAATGGGCTAAAAAAAATCTTTATACTAAATTAATACTTTAAGGTTTAATCTGAGCAAAAAAATCTGAAGTTATGTGTTTGTGGTTCTAGTAAAAGTGTATATCTAGTTTAGAAAAAGAAATACCTCTCACAATAAATTTATTAAAAAGCTAAAGCGCTAAACTTTTTAAGCAACTTATGCTTATTGTAGGCCACCCAAGCGATCGACCTACCCTCGCTGAGACTCAGTTGGGCTTACTATATAACTCTTCCCTTAATATTTGTACACCTCCCACGCGCGGAATGCAATTTTAAATTCAATTTGCACCACCTGCTCAAAGTGCAGCGCCAGCAGAGCAATTTCCCAGCAACAGGTGGCAATGCGGCATCCGAAAATAGAGGCAAACGATAAAAAAACCAAAACAAAACCAATTTGCTGTCTATCACTGACCCATAAAATGTCATTGGCATCCGCCGCAAAAGAGCCATAATCCAATCAATCGCACACTTAGCGTCCATATTCCGCAGTTATCAGCTGGTTCCAGCGTGGGCGGACCTTATCTGGTTCTGGTCCTGTTCCCAATTCGCAGTTGCGGCTATTTACACAAGCCAAAAGGCTTTGCGGCGGTCTTATTTGATTTCGATAATCAAATCACAAATTGCTTGTCTATCGATGGGCAATTTTATTTTAATTAAATGCTAATTATGTTTACCAATGATTGAGGCAAATATTTGTTGCGTCACCAGGGGCACTTCGTTTGGTTGGAAATCCAAATCCTCCTAATTGTGCAAGGGTGAGAATGGGCTATATTCGGCACCAAAATCTGTTGCAATTTAAATGCAAATTTTAACTGGCTTCGTACACTGTAACTTTTACGACTCAATGGCGTAGGGCGGAAGGAAATCTCGAGAGAAATGATGCA